TCTGCTTGGCAATCGCCGAAAATATCTCTATGACCGGGAATTCAAAGTAGAAAAACATTAAACTATGTCGACACCTCGTTCAGAGATTTGTAGCACTCAAAAATCGTACTGGATGTAAACTGGCAGATTGACTATGTAATAATATATATAAGTATATATTCTGATTAACTAATAATTAGATTTATTTAATCCTTCAGAGAAAACTCCTCTGCCTACGGACTACCTATTTAGAGCCCTTTTCTAATGAGGGACCACCCGACAGCCATACGTCTCTAGATGGGAACTCGAAAAGTGCCAAACTTTCACAATTTTGATTGCTAATATGAATATCATTTTACCGGTTTGTAAAATTGTACTTGCTTTTGTATAGCCACCTATATTATTTTGCACTTGTTTTGTATGTACTTTGTTGACATTTTTGCATATATGAACATATTGAAATTGAACAAACAGTTGTGTTAGAAAAAAATAATATTTTTATAATATAATTAGAAATGGGTTACGTGTATTTGAAAAAACAACGTTAAAATGTATTTCTAAAATGTATTCGAGAGTAAACAATTTTTAGAATATATATTTATGTATACATAAATATTTGATTTGTGTTTCATCATGTGAGTCCTATTAATAAAAGTTACATCAATTTCATTTTTGTAGATATGTTATATATTTACATTTCATATAGTTTATATATAAAATGGTTGTTATTTTAAAAAAAATATTTTTATTTACAATAATGCTGCAATTTTATAATTCATAACAATAAAATAATGAAATGTATATTAACCACAAAATTGAAACCATGTAGATAACAAAGTGCATTAAACCTATCAGCTGGATGTGCATTAAATCATTTAACACATCCAGATGAAGGGTCTGTGCTGAACTCAGCTTAATTTATACAGAACAACAACACCACAGGAAAAGAAACAGACCAGACTAAAAATGAATACTCGTAATATTTGAGTCATTTTTAAAAAATATACGAAAACATTGTTCCAATATGCTGAGGTGGCACAAATGCTATTTTAATTTTTTAAAATAATATTGTTAAATGAATGCATATAAACGTGAAAAAATTCTAAAATTAACACGTCCTAATACAAAAATATGTTCTAATGTGGGGCCAAATTGTCGAATGGAAGTTCCAAATCGAAATTTTCATTGATGTATCGGACGAAATCGATGCATCAACTTAGTTTAACTTAAAAAATTAAAGATATATAAGAGATTTTAAAATGTATTTACTTTGGGAGGTGATTACTATAAAAATACGATGGTCACTATTTAAGGCCTTGGCTACACTGATTGTTGTCAGGTGACGTTTCCATACAAAAGTTTAACATTATTAAACTTAATCTACTTTTGACTTCTTGTCAAAAGAGCGTCATTTGTGTTATTTACAATGATTTGTAAATTGAGTGTTCGCGATAAAATGGAATTAGAGCGAAAAAATTTTTATTACAGCTTCGACGTGGATTATCAAGACAAGGCATCGATCAACTTACTGCCACATTTGGCGATGAACCTTCATTCTTTATCACTGTAAAACGCTGGTACAACGATTTTAATCGTGACCGCATTTCACTCACTGACGAAATTCGAAAAGGTCGTTGTTGTGCTAGAAAACATTGATGCTGTACAAAAACTGATACTCATAATGCAATATAGTCCTGCAATATAGTGTGAGATTAAATGATCAAAGCATTAGTTTAATCAGCATATATAAAATATTGCACAATCATTTTGACGTAAAAAAGTTTTTCGTTCTCGATGGATCCCCCATCATTGATCATTTGACAAAATCTCAAAAAGATGCTCGTGTCGATTGGTACACACAGCACATAAATGCTTAAGAAGTCTAATGTCAGTGCTTTAAAAGACGTATATACTCGTATGTGTATGAGCCGGAACGTAAACAGCAGTTGACTGTATGTGTGCCAAATCCAACAAAAGTTTTTTGTGCTCGCACCACTTCGAAAGAAATAGTCGCATGTTTTTTCACGAAAACTAGTCATGTGGCAACTACGAGTATACCATTATAGGAACATTAAACGGTCCATTCCAAATGATACGAGAATACAACCATTTGTTTACCGAAGCTCAACCATTCAGTGAAATACGTAAAACAAACAAACGCCGTGGGATCACTCTCTACCTTCATCGACTATCTGAACATACATTGTAATTTGATTATCATGTTAATCATGATTATATTAAATTATATTACGATTCAATTCTATATTCAGCTTTCAAAACTCTTATAAAATCTTCTTGATTTGAACTTGTTTTGAATAACTTGAAATGACAGCTAAAATTACAATCAACTCTCGTGCGAAACCGTGGAAAATATAGATTTGTCGATTTCTGAATTACACAAATAATTGTCTGCTTTCGATGTGATTCATAATCAAGTCGAAAAAGCCCAGCAAAATTTAAATTGGTTAAAAAGTACAAAAAAAATATTTCTATAAACGAAAATAATTAAAATTCGATATTTTGTTCTTGTTTTTGTTTTTGTTTTTTCCTTCAACAATATAATTTTATTTTTTTTATTTTTAAATATTTATATATTATTATGGAAGAAGCCATTCAAAACGTTTGTTTGAGTCTCTATTTAAAATGCAACTGGGTAGTTGCGGTTTCAATGCAAATTTTTATGTTTTTTGTATGAATGTACTAAATCGGCTCCCCTCTCATAATTATTTCTTAGAAACCATTATATTATATTAAGCTATAAGTCGACTTTCTTGCTTCAAAGAAATATTTATTTATTTAAGGTAGAGTTGAAGATAAATGTAATATATCTATAAGATCTATATACACATATATGCACATACAAAATTATCTAGTACTAATTAAATAAATAAAAGCCATATAAAATTTAAATCGTTTATATTTAGAAATAAATTGTCATCATGTTGTAGAACATGAATTTTTTTTACTTTTTAAACATTTTGTTAGGCTAAATAAAATTAAATTGAGTACAGTTGATTCTATATTTTCGATTAAATATTTAGTAAAATAAAAATTACGGTTATTAAAAAAAATAGAAGACCGTGACTTCAGATATTTATTTACGCGCAGTCACTAATTTAATTTAATTTAAGAGCTTGTTTCGATATAAAATAATAAAACAATCAACCAAATATGAATAAATAAACACTAATAAAAAAAAAGCAAAACAAAGCTAAATTAGAAATTCTTTTTATCAAAAAGTTATTTTTAAATTATTTAAGTATATTATTTGTTACTAAGGTAATATTCTACCCCTTACCGCTACAAAGATACACATATTAATATACAGATACACTCGTAAATCTATTTATAAAAGCATACAAATGCAATAGCAGTAATGAAATTGATGTGCAAACCTATTCAAATCTATCGAGTATATTGCGTTTTTATGAAAATTGTTATGCACTCAAAAATGCTTGCATTTCATTGCCAATGATTATGTTAAAATAACGAGAAAATGATGAAACTACAGAACTAACAGAACAACTCAACAATATACCATAAATCTGAATTGAGCAAGTAAAGCAAGAAACACAGCTCTGGCCTTCAGAAGAAATAGGTTTATAGGAAAACACATTTTTGATAGTTTATCAGATTGTTCATTGGTAAGACGAAAGACCTATTAAATAATCTAAATTCGACGAGATAGTTAGAGTCTATCTTTTTCTATTTTAAGATTTTTTGTGAGGAATGTGGTGTAGCTAAATCACTAATTGTGGTCAGTGGGACGGTATTTACGGACCGTCACTGCAACCAACTAATCAACCAAACTAAAAAGCAAAAGTTGAAAGTCGTATTTCGACTTTGTAAAATTAATTTTAGTATTTATTTAATAAATATTTAATAAACGCAAGGAACTGTAAAGCAGATAGCACGAAAGGAATAACTAGACAAATACATTCGTGATCAAGACGAAGAGACCTAATCACTTCTATGAAGCGGATCCAAAGATCGATTGGACTAAGGTTTGTGTGCGCGTTCGAGCAATAGGTGATGCACTTAATTTTGGTTAAGTGAAAAATGTAAATTTCATCAGAGATATTTTTATATATGTTATGTTCATCGCTTATATTTAGAGGCATTCACTAAGAAAACACAACATAACAATGGTCATAGAAATCTGGTGTTGATATATTATTACCGTTTTAATTGTCTCATTTATACTTCAATGCATGTTGAAGGAGTTTCTCGTACGTAATATTTACGTCATTCTTGACCTTTCCTTATATAGCTGATTACGTTCTAATTAACTCAACCTCTCACTACTTCATATAGGTTAAAATATTTCGTCGAAGACAAACATTTTATTGATTAATGTATTTTTTACGATAAGAAATGAGTGCAATGCAGATTCAATAAAATAGTTAGGATATTAATTGTAATTAATATTAATTACAATTATATATTACAAATATAACTAAAACGTCAGAAGCCCAGAATTAAGACGTGCAGATTATATTTCCAGATCTATGCTTAATAATTGTTAACTTAGGTGATTAAAAGCTTTATTTTTCCCTGAATTGGGAAAATTTAATTAAACCTGAAAACACATTGAATATGTAAATCCATTTGGTCTAAGTTATTTATTAATAAATTTTTTTAACATAACGTCAGGCTATAAAAACAAATGTGTTTAGCTGCGTTCGGGAGCCATTGCTGTAATTATTGCAGACATATGTATAGTCAGTGAATAATGTTGTTAGTAATAGGTAACTGCATTGTACCATATTGTTGATGAATTAGAGAATTTTTTTCCGCACCCAGTCCTAAACGTTTGGGATTACTGTGAACAAAACATTCGAGATTCGATAAAAAATGTAATGCATTCATTACTTCCTTACATAACAATATAAATTAATTATAATTATTTATTAATTATTTGTTATTTTGTATACACTGTAAGTTTAATATTCAATGGAAATGATTATATTTGCATATCAAATGTAATATATAATGCTTTACAGTTTCACTGACTGACTCACCATAAATCACAGCCAAGCCAGTCTCATGAAGCCAGGAGACGCGATGATGTTTAAACAACCAAATGGTTAACACCGTTAACGTAAGCAAAAACGTATACACCAGCAAATTAAGGCTATCAATTCTGTGTGTTAATGTGGCTTTGGCATCAAGCGCTATATCTGTAGCAGTGGCTTCACATTGTCTGCTACCAATGCATATCAATAGTACGGCACAGTACAGCAAAGTACTGTAATTGTTTTTATTTTTACTATAAAGTTTGTTTTTCAGCAAACATTTCCTGTTAGACGTATTTCCAAAGGTATTATTTTTTGATTGCCCTGACCTTTGATGCATATTTATCACTGTTAAGTTAGCAACGACATCATCTGTAGGCTTAACGCTGTTTGATATGACACTTAACCTGTTAATTGTACTGTATTCCTTGCTGCCATTCAGTCTGTGCGTTAACTGTTCCTTTACCATTTTCTACCATTAATAGTTAGTAAATATTTGATATCCTCTTTAATTTTAACTTTTAGCTTTAATCGATTTATAATTTTTTCTTTGTAAGATTATGACGTATCAGCAGTGGGTTGTGCAAGAGCCAATATTTTCTTTTATACGCACTTTGAGGATGTAGAACGTTTGGGTTTCCCTTGTCAAAATCCTTCGTTTTAGTAGTCTCTTTCACAATTCAATATTATTTCTAAGTTTTTAATAAATATAAATTTGTATTAATCATTTCAAATATTAGTTATGGTAATTTGAACAGTTGTGTGTTATAAAAATTCTTATTATATCTAAGAATTTCTTAATTTTATATCTTGCAGTTCTCATTTAAAACTATTTTTAACACAAACCGACCGCAACCATACGCTCACTCGTACTTTATAATACTCACTTCCAAAGAAATTGAAAACAAACAAGAAGTAATAACAAAAACAATGAGCGAGATATACATAAAAGCTAAAAATTTCGTTGAATTATTACCATATTGCCAATTTCAAAAAATAAAAAAATTTATTTCACAGAAAATGACACAAAAATCAATTTATACATTGAACATTTAATATTGAAATATTGAATAACAAATATACATTTTGCAATTTGTATACAGATAGCATTTAATTTACACTCTTAATTCACTTAAAATTTTCATTTGTGTCATATTGTTTTATTATTGGTGAAGGAAAACTTTATAATGACAGCAGTGTGAAAATTGGTACACAATCTGTTAAACTTGCATTACGTGGTTACTCTCACCATGAATCAAGCTATGTCAATCAAACAATTATATTTTTAATTTGTGAGATATGTCATTAAGGACAATAGTTTTTAAAAAATTTTTAAAATAAAATACACTACATTTACGCGAGTTTTAAAATCTCTTTTAAAATTGATTTTAATACAAGTTTTTAGAGCATTTACGCACAAAAATTAAAAGTACTTTTAAGGTAGCTGTCAATCGATCAGCTGTTATACAACGTTTACGTTGTGAGATTAAAACTAGATTAAAGCAATAATCTAGATTTTTTTGTTTACTCACAGATTTCCTATACAAAATTTAATCTCCTATTAGTCGAGATTAATTTCTCTTTAGTAATGGTGATTATTTTTCTGTGCAACTCTGCAAATAGTTAATATCTTAGATTTTTTTACGATATAAGAAGAATTGGAAAAGAAATGTCAAAATCTATTCAAAACAAATAATGAAAATTGAGTAAATTGAGTAAATGAGTAAATTTTTAATAAATTTGTTTAATAAGAATTAGTTTTGCGCATAATTATAACTAAAATTTGTTAAATTATTGTTACAAAACTAATTATTAAATTTATATTTCAACTGTTTTGTGCAAAATTGTAATTAAATGCTTTATTTATAGAAATTTATCAAACACACGAATTAAAACGCAACAAGAGAAACGCCATTGGGATCTTCCAGATACTACTGCGTTTACCTGCAGGGATTACCTAATGATATTTGTCTTTTAGCTAATGCATAAAAGAAAGTTTCATCATATGTTATTCAAAAGGCTTTTCAAACCTGAAAATAACGGGCAGTGAAATGATGACGACAACATTCCGTTACATCGAATAATATTTTTATAATATTATATTATTATCGTATGTACTTAACACATGCATACAGTGGGCTATTAAAAATTCCATATCTCTTACAAAAATTTTAATACTTAAAGATTTAAAACTTAAAGCAATACCAATGAATCTTAATTGTAATAAAAAGCAAGCTGAAATAACAAGTAATAATCATAAATTATGTTATTACACATAAAAATAGGAATACATATTATTTTCTAATAAACTTTGTGTTAATGTAGTTTTATTTAATTTAAAAATTTTGGATGCACTAAATAAATTGAGCTCTATTATTGCAATAACATCAATTATTGCAACATCCTCGAATTCTACTAGTTGCAATCTTCAAAGTTGTAATGTATATTAACTTCATATATTTTATCGCAATGCACAATTTTTGCTCTTTCTTATATTTAAATAGACAAAGTTTAGTATTTATAGCGTTTTCAAAAATTTACAATATACTAAAAACTACTGCATCCTCAAAATTTCATAGGAAAATTAATGTTACTAAGGCCGCGTGCGAGTTCGAGTAAATTGAAATAAAGAAAATTGAAATTTTGTAGGAATTTTTTGCACTGTACTTATGTAAATATTTATTTATTTATTATTTTTAGTTAAAAGTTTTCAAATTTATATTTTTATTAAACATCTTATAAAATTTTCACAATGGTAACACCTAATTCACGTAATTTTTGTCTAATTTACCCTACTCGAAATTCTGATAAATACCAACATTTGTTGCCATACCAACATAATCTACTATTTCCCTCAATTTCCCAACAATTTACTAGAATTCGCTCACAACCTGAGACAATAACTTTTAGCTTAAAGTAGAGTTATCATTTTTGTAATGTGTTCTTTGGTAAAAAATGAACTGAATGAAAATGAATTGTTATGGTAACTCTTTTGTATGGTTGTCAAACTCTGAAACTAGGGCGACGTCAAACGTCAAATAATTCCAATTCCAAGTGATTGAAGATTCCAATAAATATAAATTTTCAGTGTATTGTTTCATATATTAACTTCGTTTACTTTCATTAACCAAAAAGGTTTCTATTTGAGAGAAGATTTCAGTGTGCAGTAAAGTTCTCTATTTTTGAATAAGTTTCTGGGATTGTTAAATATATAATTAGGACGTGAAAAAAAATCATAACATTTTTAAATTTAAGTAAATCGAGGATGTCTAATATATCAGTTGGGACAATTCTTTGGGATGCGCAACGGATGTCTAATCGTGTAAAGGATTTGGATGCGTTAGGAAGTGCCTTATTAGTTGAAGCAGAGGGTAATAATAGACTTGTTGACAATTTGCGTCATTATCAAGGAGATATCGAATCACTAAATCGTATATCAAACAACAAGTCGAACGCAGATATGGTAAATCGAATACATCAACAGAATGCAAACAGTTCTGAAATACTTAAAGAAAATCGTGAACTAAAGGTTTGCATTGAAGATTATGAACGCGCAATGGAATTAATAATGCAAAAATATCGTGAACATACCGCAAATAAAGTATTAGAAAACAAAATTAATTTTAAAGAAGTATATAACGAACGTTTATGGAGTATAATTTATGAGCAAAGAGAAAAAATTAACGAAATGGCTGCTGTTATGCATCGCGCAGCTTATTCAGATGACGAATCTGTTAATAATGATTTACAAATAATGTCTCGATTACGTTTAGAGAACCAAACGTTGCGTGAACTTTTGCAAATTTCAACGCAATATGGAACTGCTAGTAATCCAATACGCTTCAACGAACATTTACTTCAGGAAAAAGGTGTGCAAACAGAATCTGTGGACGGTGGTGATTCCGCGGATGAGTTATCCTTATCGACAGCGTCTGCTGAAAACACAAATAATAATTCTGTTATTCAAGTCAGCATAAACACACCTAACAATATTAATCCTGTTTTAACTGCCAACGTTGCTATACATGCCACAGTTACAGATAACGCCCAGCAACAATTAGCTGATTCAGCAGAGAACAATAATGGACCACCATTTAAAAATAATAGAGTTACTTCAGCTGCACCTGCCCAAATTAATGATAGCATTAGAACAATAACACCAGATACTCCGTCCGATATCTTAGTACCAACTGCAGTTAATACGACGAACGTGCTTTCCACTTGTGCTGATACAGTTAAAACAACAGCTAAAGCGAGCGCAACATGATAGAAAATAAAATTGTTTATTTTGAGGAAAACGGTTATATACTTTATTTCTTTTCTGAATATATCTAATAACAGAATGAGAATTTATTTAAATAAAATAATGCATTTAACGAAAAAGTATCACAAAATGTAAAAATAATATGACTATAATTCACTCACCACTAAAACATGAAAGCTAATGGAATTCGCCGTTATGCAAATTACTTCAATTTGGCATATAAGATAAATATGTATATCTAATCTTTTCACACATAACAAATTATTTAATAGACATATCTTTTTAATTGCATCCGAACATAATTAAGTTAACACAAAATTTACGTATAAAGTTAATTGCAAAAATTTATTTTATTTTTAAGTAGAGGAACAAAATGATGTAGTGTTATATGAATACAAATCAATTTTATTTAATTTCTTTAAATTTATCAAATTAAAATCTAATAAATAATAACAATAATAAAATTTATATTTCTTTAAAAAAAAAATAAATACTGTCACATAAATTAGTTGTAGTCATTTGCATTATATTAATTTAATTTTATTGTTTTCATACAATTTCAATGAATATTTTATTTTCATGGATTTATTTAAGAGAATATGTTAAACTTGAATTGTATTCAGCTAATCTGGATCTGGTAATAGTTGCCACAAACATTTTCTGTAGGGCATTTGTTGCAGGCACGAAAACTTATACCAAAACTAGACATTAATTTATAATATACATACATATATAACCGACTTAATACAATACAATATAAAGTTCTAAAATTTACTTATTATGTTTTTACATTATTTTAGGGTCTAGAACAATAGCAAATAAAAACATTTTTTTATTAATATAATTTAACTGAATTATTCTTAGTTTTCCGTCAAAATTCCGCAATATTAGGTGAAGAAAAATTATATGTAATATATTATAACAACAATAGGATATATAATAACATATAAATAATTGTAATCGAAATTACTCAAAAATTATTTCCCAAGTTTTAGTTTTTAATACATTCATTTCGGTTATTTTATATCGTATTTAAAAAATTTTTATATGTACATTGTGCATGACTATATAAATAAAAATTTAATAAATATGTAAATGCGTTCTTTATTTGCCACCAGTTTAAACCATAATTCTTACTTAAATAAAATGAAATAATAAAATAACAAATATGATTAAAAGTATTGGATGTATTTAGACGTTACTCTGTGTAAATGGTAAAGCGGTAAAATAATAAAGTTTAAATCCTGATTCTTACTTAAATAAAATGAAATAATAAAATAACAAGTAAATATGATTGAAAGCATTGAATGCGTTGGAAATATTTAGACGTCACTCTGTGCAATCAGTAAAGCGATAAAATGACAAACGTCTAAACGCCCCTTTTTAATTATTTTTCGTTGAAGTTGTAAAATTGAACTGCCAAAGCTAAAGATCTTGTTTTTGTTTGTGAATCATTAAATAATTAATAAATAATAAATTTTAAGAGGCTTTTCGCAAAGTAGTGAACTACAACAACAAAAATTCATTTTATATTATCTTAATTAAATGAATTTTTGGCTGACCATACAGTTTTTTCGAGTATTACCAAATACCCATCATCAGTAGTCTTGAATATAATTCTTGTATTTAATTATTCGTAAATAATTTTTTGAGACTGCAAGTACCAGAGATTAAACTCGTGCCCTGCCAAATTTGAAACTCAGAGTCAGCACACCTTAACCAACTGTTTATATAATTAATTAATAATTAATCTGTGATGAGCTGATGTAACTGTAACTCTTGTAGCCAAAAGGCTGGCAGTATTTAATAATGAATTATAAAATGAATTAAAAGGGACAATAGGAGGTAATTAATGAAACTCCTAATTCAATTTTTGGTATTAAACATCTATAAAAGAAAACAAAAAAATAAGAATAAAAAAGAATTTCTGATAAAATAAAAGTTTTCCTCATCGTAATGACGTTGTTACTATGAACGTATGTAGTCCTTGATAATTTTTTCGCGGCACACAACTCATCATCATTGATAAACATTTTAGGTTTTTATTGGTATCGATATGTATCAGTTTTATTTTTTAAATTTTGCGCAACATTTTATGATAATAGAAAAATAGTAGAAATCAACTGATGTTTTACCGAATACTGAACAATTTATATCTGAATCATTAACTTGGTAACATTATAGTTTCACAAAAAGTAACACATATAAAATCTTTTTACTTTATATAATTAACTTAGGTAATTATATTCTAGATAATTAATTAGTTAATTTAAATTTCTAATTTATCTAAATTCAGACCGAGCACATCTGAATACTTCTTTTTACTTGTTTTAACTTTATAAAAATTAAGAGGTAAAGAATATGAATTAAATAACAAAACAAAAGACTTAAAATTGTTCAATAAAATAATTTAATTAATAATTATTAATTTAATTTATAATAATTTTAATATTATAATTAAAATACAAAGGATCAAATATGCAAGATATTAGGAATCTTTAAAAATATATCACAAAGTTAATTTTTCTTTAGTAAAAATGTAGAATGTACTAACCAATTGTTAATCTATATCCATAATAATTGTGTTCGAAAACCGTCCGAAAGAGATTTTCCACATATATCGATTGTAATCATAATTCCTGTAAAAAAGAAAAAAAATTATTTTTTTCTAATCAACGCCTTGAGATTATACGTTTAAAATACCATCGAATAGGTTAAACTTTTTGTACACTAAATGTAAACATTGTTAATTCGGTACTCGGGCACAATAGACCCGACAGTCACAGTGCCACTTCCCTTAACAATAATAATAATTCGGTACTCAAATTTAATGCACAAGTTACCATCGATTTGATTTTTCTATAAAGACTTGATGACTGCAACGGTTCTACTTTATACAAAAATTAGTCAAACGTAGAAGAAATGTTATTTTAAAATTAAATATTAATATTGCAAAAAATAACGGGTTCAAAAATGAAACGTAAAATATGAGTTTTTAACAATTTGTGAAAATATGTAGTATATGTAGAATAAAGTGTTTTAAAATAAATAAAACCCTTATTTTATTTATTTAAAACGTTCAAAGATTGCTATGTTCAAACAGCTTGAATTCGAAATCGAATTCGAACAAATTCTGCTCAAATGTGCTTGAGTTAATCGACTAACTAATCTAGGTGTTTGCAAGAATAAAGGTAATAGTATTTATCTTGAGTACCTCAGGAGTTTATTTGAACATACATATGTGAATAACTTGAGTACTGACTGCGCGTAAGTGAAGTGAAAAGGTTTATTTCATAATTAATGTAAATTAAAATAAGTAATGTAATATTTTATAATAAGTGTTTTCTAGTTAGGAATAAATCGATATCTGTTGCAATTTTAATGCGAACAAAAATAAATATCAAAAATATCCAAGGAATACAAGGGAAAAATTTTATCATATTAACAAAAATTTTTGAAAATTTTAAATTAATTTTTATTTATTTTAAAAAATAAAATTAAAAAATACACTAACATATATTAAAATTTCTTTTGAGATAAGCCTTGTTATAAGGACAACGTTTAAGGATAATATCTAATTTGATTACTTTAGTAAAATTTATATAGGAATTTTTTTTTAATTAAATGGAATATATATACAAACATTTTTTTATATATTGTAAATTATCACTTTTTTTGTAAAAAATCTTTCGGGCGGCGTTCTAATCATCGCATCGAAAAGGCTCTTCAATAGATTAGTTTTAACTAACCTTTTTATATAATAAACGCATCATATGGGCGTATATTAGTTTGACACTTGAAAATGTTATCAGTTGTGTTTACACTTAAGTGAAATTTAATTTTGTTTCGTTTTGTGTGATCGTATAAAACGTTTGTGTGTAGAAGTATATTAGTACACATCCCATTAGCGCAAATTGTCTTCGATGACATTGTCCGCAATGCATTGGAAAATAATTGTGCAAATAGTGACTCGAACCTGATTTTGCTGAACATACTTTGTTCCATGAGAATTCTACAAAATTAGAATTTGTTACAAAATTACGAGCGACTATTATATGTGCTTTGATTTTGTTTTAAAACGATACAATAAATAAGATTTGTAAGGTTTTATGGTTAATAAATGAAAGATTTTAATGTTAACATATAAATAATAAACGATAATATTTTACCATTATTTTAATTAAGTAAAGAAATTGAAGGAAGAGGCAAAAGAAAAAGGTGAATAAAATATAGGTACGCTAGGAGTGCATTATTTTATTCAAATATGGACGATTTTCTGAACAGTGTACCCGATCAGTCATAAATCACATTTTGCTCACTTGTTCGAAAATGTGTCTAATGAGCACCATACATTTGGATTGATTTGTCGTTATCTATGTCCTCATGTCTTGCATATGTGTTCGAAAACAGATTGATCTGGGACATCCAACTAGGATATTGGAACGTCCACTAGCCAAAAATAATATTACATATGAATCTGTATTAAGCTGAATTTTTATGAAAAAGCACCGAATTTCATTGTGTGGAATGGAATGAAGGGATATAATTATACTCTATTTCTCCTATTTACGGTTTTCAAGCGTAAAACCGCTGCTTGTGTGAATAGGTTCCATAAGTTGTACATATTTTTTTACTTTTCTTTGCTGAAATTGAACACGAAGCTCATCCGTCCATCCTTCCATTTGGCTGGTATATTATAAACTAAATCAAACTATTTAGTTTATTGATATAATGTATAAAGTTTTGGTGAACATGTCCTTTATTTTAAAGTAAACTAAAATTGCTTATTTTATTTTTGTTTTAATTATTTTAATTAACAAGTTTGTTTTGCTTTTGATTTGTCATTAAATCTTTCGTCCTTTAAAACAAGATTTCTCGTTTTAAATTACTTTAATTAATTAAAACTTTGATTAAATTATTGTTCTTAATGACATTCCTGTCCTGACGATGCGTATGTACTAGAAGATCTGGGTTTACCAATATTTGGTCTTAAAACAGATTTTAAAAAATGTGTTTGATGGCTCTGTCTCAAAAATAGGGCTTTCCAAATTCACTTGCAATGTGCCGACAAGCTTCTCTAATTGCTAAGATTTCAGCCTAAAAAACCGTGGGTCATTAGTTAGCCTAATAAAATTGTTTATATTTTCAAATGGCGCGAAGAACCCAGCTCCTGCCCCGCAGCTCGCTTTCGATGCAACCGTGTAGATTGATATCTTAATTTGCTTCGAAATTTTTTCTTTACTATTCATTTCTTGAAGGGAATATTGTCTGAAAATTTCTTTCAAAGTTTAGGCACGGATTAAAAAAATCCAATGTCATCCCATACAGATTGTTTGGAACTGTATCTAGAATTTGACTATGTCCATATCTTCGTTCCGACTAGACGCCTGTTGCTTTCAGTCTAACAGCGCTGTTGCAAACAATATTTTTGAAATGAAGATCGATAGGTAGCACGTGCAGTTGCACGTTTAGGGCGTCCAAAGGGATCCTCCTAAAAGCTCCTGTGACGCCAATGCATGCTATCCTCTAAATTCTGTTAAGTTTATCAATATTATAGCTCTTACTTAGAGCTGGCCACCAAACGACTGTGCCATACGTAAGAATTGGACGTACAATGGCCATGTACATCCAATGTGTAATATCAAGACGAATCTCCCATATACAAGCCTTCTTGATTCGACAATCGACATTGTGTTTCCAGCTTAACTTACTATTCAACAAAATTCTTAGATATTTGGCTTTTTCCGATAGTTTCAACTGTTGCTCGTTTAATGAAGGCAACCTGAAAACCGGTATTTTGGTTTTAGTAGTAAATAGCATCATTTCGGTTCTTCCTCTATTAATGTCTAATCCACAGCCTGAGAGTTTGTAGCTCATTCTCATATGTTCTCGTTAGAACATTTCGTGCGAAGTAATCGCCATATATTTATTTTATTTTTATTACATCCCATAATTTTAACTTTAAAATTATTTATTAAATTTTATTTATTAAAAATGTATAACAAAGAAAAATATGTATTCATAGCTTGTTTTTATATGTTATAAACCATAAAAAATTTAATGAAAAAAGGTAAAAATTTGGTGTTGAGAATTAAATTTATATGAGAGTTTACGGGAATTTATTCAAGGAACAAAATTTTTTATAATAATGCTCTACGAACTTTAAAAACACGCTATGGTGCTAATGAGCGGAGGTATCAACACTCACGTAAAAAGTAAAATAGCTCTAAGCGAAATCAATTTTTAGGATATATGTATCTAACATATATGTATAACAATATTAAAAAAAACTGCATGGGCGATGAACTGTCCAGACTTACACTAGGCATTGACAAAAGAAATATTTTTTTTAAAACCTTCGTTAGATTCCAGCTTATGCGTGTTATACAAAGGGTATATTCTTGGCGTGGTGTCAAGCCCGGTATACGCATTAGTTTCTTTATCATATCTCCTAATACTTGGACCATCAACAAAAAATTAAACATATTGGCAAACAAAAGAAATAAATAGAAAAAATATAAAAATATTGAAGCAAAGAAAAAAAGTAAAAATTATATGAATAGTTTTAGAAGGATCTATAATTTTCGTCGACTCTGTTAATAAATTTTCGTTATTTAAATAAATTTCACAAATGAAAATGATTAAACAAAGAAAAATATTCTAATTTTTTTTTATATAATAATCAGAAATAATTTTAAAGTTTATTGCTCCAAACGCACAAACGCTAAATTCAGATTTTTATTATTTTTATTCACATAATATTCGCATGATACCTAAACTAAAACAGGGCAAATAAGCTCAATAAACCTTGTCAAACTAAACTACGTAAGCAAAAAACTTTCATAGCAAGTAAGAGAGAGAGTAGCACATGTAGTTTTAAGTAGAGAGTGCATAAGCCAAGCGACATCAAATAAAATTTCACAGCATATTCATATTTTGAATTCGCCTTGCTGTGGTATTTGACAGAATCGCCATGTAGCATGTGTACCAGAGAACTGTAAAGAGTCATAATAATAATACTTAGAGTACACTCATAAAAAATAAGTACATATTTTCGCATATGTATACTGCGTATACATACGCATTCATACTTACCACACAAATGATTCGTAAGTGCGAGAAATTTTATAAGAGAAGTAGCGTGCAAGCAGAAGTACTCATAAGTACTTATCATATGGTATACTCCAGTGGTATGAATTAAAAAAAAAACATTTTTCTAAAATCTGTTAATAATATATAACAGCACTTCTACACTTTATTGTAATTTATATGAGATTTATTAATAAATTTTGTAAAATATATTATTAAAACAAATTGTGTGTATGATTATGTCAGATTAATGTACTTCCTTTGAAAAAGGTGCAATTAAATAAATGATTAAAGTTAATAAAAATTAAAAAAGTAAACTATTATAATAAACAATATAATAATTTTTGGAGTATTTATACCCTTGAACACATTTTTTTAGGACTTCACTAAATAACAATATTATATTTGTATTCAAATTGGCACATCAATGAGAGAAAAACAGCTATATGCCTTACAATAGGACTGTTCTTTTAAAAGGACCTTATATATCCAACAAATCAAGAGTGTATAACCTGCAAATGGTGAGCCCGATCCACTTTCTAACTGAATGTCAGAATTCTAAACATCTATTAAAAGTTTACGCTAATGTTTAACTGGATTTAAGAGATGACACAAGAGCAAGAGTTTGACACAAAGTTAAGAGTCAGTGTATGATGGCTAGCATGAAAGCATATAAAATCGAATCGACCGCTGTAATAAGATTTTATTAAGTGTAATTAAATAAAAATTTAAACTTAACAAGTTAAGAATGATGAAATTTATTTATGGATGTTAGTAATTGTATCAGCCGATTAAAGAGAATTGTCCGCTCAGAAATCCATGGTATGAATTTGGTTAATTTTGTCGGGATATCTTCCTTCAGATTCCTGTGTTTATTATTTGGCTATGAGATATTTATTATGGATATATTTGATTAAGGAGATTTGGCTTGTTTCAAAGAATTAGTTTAGACACAGTTGACACGAAACCACAGTTTGAATATTTTTGTTATACAAAATATTTTTTTATGTATTACAAGGAACTACTTCAGACAGAGTTGATATGATTACACCTGTCGTGGCTTGATAATTCAATGTTGCTTTCCCATTAGTTCAAATACTTCTGATATAAAAAGTATTCTTTTATATATTATAATCAATTACTTCAGACACAGTTGACATAATACCATCTATCGTGTCTTGGTACTTCAGTGTAATTGTTTCGTCGGTTCGAATAGGTAATTATACCTTTGTATTTACAATTTTTTATATAGAATTGTTTCCGTCAGATTTTGCCTTTGTGCACCAAGTGCTAGTTTAAACACCGTATTCTGAGATGTATATGCTTTATTATTTCATTGTAGTCAAATATTATATTGAAAAATGCAATTAATAAAATATGAAAAACCTTTTTATTAAGTATTTATTATTTTATTATTTTTAGATCAGCTAATAAATATATGTATATATATATACATATATAAATTTCATTGAAAATTTTTAGTATCAATAGAGTGATCATAAAAGCATATTTCGTTTTCTTCCTAATGTTGAATTGATGATAATAATACCGTTAAGATTCTATAATATAAAAAAAATATGACTTCTAATTTGTATTGTAGAGGAGAGATAAAAATACGGAGTTTAATAAATATAAAATAATAAAATTTAAATATTAAATAAGAACTTATAAGTATTGAAGACTCAAAGGTCTAATGTATTATTTCTGCAGCCGACGTTTTGTTTTCGGTGTTGTGGGTGTTGGCGTTGGTGGTTTTGTTATCTGTAAATATAATACACTTCAGAATCAATATTTATGTTATATGATCATATTCTTACCGATCGTATTGGTTTTGGTGAGATGGCATTCGCAGGCGGTGGTTTTCTGGGTTCTGGCCCATCAATATCTCCCACAACTTGTACTGCAACAGGTCTTTGCTCTAAAGCAATGCCACGTTCTGTACTACCACTACGTGATGTCGAACCAGACCGCTTAAACATGCCTGATAAACGACCCCGTAAATCTTTTTTACTCGACCTCATATCACTCGCAACGCTTATATCAGAGTCAGATCCTTGAATCTATTTTAATATTGACAAATGTATAAATCAACTAAAAATATAAATAATTGCGTAAATATTACCGATATTTCGCTTTCGGAATTGCGACCACTCTTGGTTAGACTGCGCAGTTTACCCATTAAACCTTTTTTTTTCTTACGCGGTCCTCGTGGTATATCGCTTTGTGTTGAACCACCAGATAAACGAGAATCTAATCTTGAGTCAAAGCTAGAGTCCCTTACAAGACCACCTAACTCGGAATCAATTGACTGTATTGATGATACACTGCCATCATCTTGACGCCATATATTTTGATCTTGCTGCATCGATTGATCTAGGGATAAACTTTTTCTGATCAAACTACCATTATGTGGTGAAGAACGTGATAGTTTAGAGCTATTACGATGGTATCCTCCAGCACTGGCTACGGATCCAGTGCTGCCGTGGGGATCATTTTCTTGAGAAGCAGCTCGTCGAAGATTACTGCGACGCATTCTTTGTCGTTCGTTTTCATCCTCATTTAAATGTTGGAATTTTCTCAATTCTTCTGATGCTTCGGCTAAACGTGCAAGTATACTGGAAATTTGCGTACTACTTAACGTAGTGGGAGATGGACTACGACTTCGCCGAACAGCCCCTTGATCATTACGTACCGTAAGTGTGTGACTAGTATTGGTGCTTGTTTGATTACTATTATTTGCATTTCTAGTTGTTGCCATTTTAAGGTCAGGTGCTATTTTGACTAACTCATCTACAGTTTGTAATAAAGCACCTACTTTTCGTTCGCCGCCATCTTGCTCCATGCGTCGTTTTACTAATTCTTTTTCGTATCGTTCTCTTTCACGGCGAAGTTTTTCATTTGAGGTACGTAATTTTGCGTGTACATCTCGTAGCTCTAATAAATCGCATTGCAATTCCGCTATTTTTTTGCGTCCCTCTTCCATTTCTTCTTCAGTTGATCGTTTAAGTTGGTCTAATCGGCGTTTTGATTCTAAGCGTTCTTTATCACGTTCTCGTTCAACTTCGAACAGAGTTTGACGAAGGTCACGTGCCAATGTCGAAGTCTCCTGCAATAGCCTTTGTTGATCTTCGCGCTCTTTTTGCCAGGATAATTCCAATTTTGTTTTCATGCCAGGAATCTTAGTACGACCTGAACCAATTACTCGCTCTTCTTCAAATTCATTTAATTTTGATTGCATTTCAGAAATTTTTATTTCATTCGCACTGCGCTCAGAAACCAATTCTGTTTTAACTTTACTAACTTCTAGTCGTGCTTCTACCAGTTGATCTTCCAGACACCCAATCTAAAAGTATTTTATGTAAACAAATATCAAAGTAATTTTATTTCGGAATATACCTGCTGGTCCAAATACGCAATTTTACTTTTATCGTCATCATCACTGCTATGCATGGAACTACGACTATGCCGTCCAGTAGTATTAGCTTTTAGTTCGCCAATTTTTTTCTGTGCTGATTCCAACATTTGTTTAAAAGTATCGCGATCTTTCTTGAATTTCTCACATGAACGCTGCATTGAAGTTAGTTCTCCATTCAATGTTTTCACTTGCTGCTCATATCGTAAACGCGTTGATGCAACCTCAGACTTGAGCTGAAGTTCTGAATTTTCTAACCTACAAATTTTTCGCATAAAAATATATTAAATTAATCGTTTTGCTGTGAATTTTGTAATAAAAAGTTTTTTTTTGGCCTAAAAGTGAGTTATAAAAGGAGTTATAATTTTTTTTTGTGTGCAGTGAAAGCGCTCTTAAGAGGACATTGACGGAACAAGCAATTCTATTTGACTAGTCCATATGATGGTCCATATGATAAAACGTACTTAGTACCAAACAAGAAAATTGGGGATTGGGAATATTGCACGGATAGGAGAGATATTAGTTTATGAAAGTGTTTGTTTAACTGTACAAAGTATTTTTTTGCGGTAATGCTTATTAACATACTTTAGTTTTAGAGACTTAATTTCAGCTTCGAGACTTGCACTGTGACCATTAATGGAAGATTTAGCTTGTTCAATCCGTTGAAAATCACTAAGTTTACAATTAAGATCATCGTTATCCTTACGCAATTGAAATACTAAATCGATATTCATTTCGTTTTCGCGTCGTAAACGATCATATTCGTGATCCTTTTCTGCTAGCTTGTTTTTAAGCATAGTTTTTTCATATTCTGAAGCGCCGCTTTTTAAATTTTTCGCTTCTAGATCATGGATTTTGTTTTGGGTATCACTCAAACGTTTTGTTAAATCCGATCGTTCGGAACGTAGCGTGTCTAATTCACCCAACTTTAGTTTAAGCGAATTTAGTTCGGATTCAAGATTTCGTTTCTCAGTTGTAAGCTGTGCTCTCATTAGAATGGTTTCCTCAGAAAGCTTTTCCCAGTGACCATTTAATTCCCTGCTATGTTTTGTTTCTGTATCCAAAGAGGTTTGTAGATCATCAATTTGTTTTCTTAACTCCTGCACCAATTTTGAATCCGATTTTTGACTATTCGATTTAGATTTCAGCTCTTTAATTTCCTTTTCTAAGTTTGTCTTTGTTTTCTCATTTGTTTTATGGGCATTAGATAATTCGTTTTCTATCTGTTTTATTTTTGATTCGAACATGTCGCGCTCCTTACGTTCTTTTTCGTACGTTTTTTCCAATGCAGCAAATTTCTCTTTTTCACGTTTATACTGACTATCAGCCGCAGTCTTTGCAATCTCAGTTTGTTTGATCTAAAATTTATATATCCTAAATTATGTCTTAATGATACAAAAATAATGCCACCTACCTGAGAATCCTGTTTTTTAATTTTGTCTTCCAAATCTTTTAATTTTGAGTTTAATTTTTTAGATTCTTCTTCTGATTTTTTCAAATTTTTCTCCAATTCTGTTGTTTTTGGCATAGTTGTTGTAAGAGATTTCAAACGATCTATAAAAAAGTTGAAATAGTAAAAATAGCACCAAAACCCTTAAAGTATTGTAGAAGTAAAAGAGAGTTAATCACAACTGGTCACTCTTATTGTTATTGCCAATTACTTGACAAGATGTGTATTGCCGTTGCCGTATCAAATAAACTATAGTGGGATAAGAATCGAGATGAACAATTAAATATCTTAAATATATTAACCAAATTAGGTTAATGAATTTAAACATGAACTTATATCTCCTTGTCCATTTTCAGACTTCCAATTGGATTGCTATATTCGTAAACTTTCATGATAACATTTATGATATTACTTGGATAGATCAACGAATACATACATATACATATCCAGAAGAATATCACATGAGAATATATTTATTATTATTGGAAGGAACACAGGTATACTTCGATTTATTAGACTAATAACGCAATTAGCAACTTTAATAGTACTTTTTGATTTCCGATTGTAGATATCATTCAGGTCAGTAAAATCTTCTGACAATCAATGGGTGCAAGTTAATTTTATCCTACACAAGCAATTGTGTATGAAAAATCTATCAGAAGAATGGTGATAATTTTAAAAAAATTTGTGAATATATTTTAGCGCAATTCAGGAGAATTGCTGCAATAATTCACTACTATGGATGAAACATTTCTCCATTACTACACATCCGAATGGTCGAGCGTCGGTCTACTTTAGCAATTCGTGTATACTTGAGAATAATCATTTGAATCGAACAATTCAAATATTTAGAAATAATCAAGTTACGCGAAGGCATATATTTTTGCTACTCGGGCCATATGGTTTATATAAACCATATGAACCACATGGTGTTCGTATATAATCGAACGAAATGACCAATAAATAAAAAAGTACAAGCATATTTAAATATTAAAATGCCAGAACTAACGTTACATATAAGTATTATTTGTAAATAGGTTAGGTTCAAAGATTGAAAGCTATAAAAAGTTATAAAATAACTTTATAACTTTATATTATATAAAATTATAAAATAAATTTACTAAATTAAAAGTAAACTATTTGGAAGAGATATGTAATGATAAATTAATCTTAATTATTAATTTACATACCTATATCACCTTCCGCTATTACCAGTTTTTGTTTTGATTTCTGTAGTTCAGATTCTAATGTGTGATTTTCATTTTCAAGTTCTCTTAATTTATTGGCCCCACTTCTTAACATCATAGTTCGCATTTCTGTTATTTCATCTTCAAGCTCCTCAACCCATTTTTTCAAATGATTTTTGGGAGTAAGATCAGTTATACGTTTCGGAGTTCTGGGTGGCAACTTATCTTCTGCCTCATTCATAATACGTTTAAGTTTTATATTTAACTCATCCCGTTCACGCTCAATTAATGAGAGCGTCTCTTTCATTTTGTTAATTTCGGTATTAGTTCCGATCGTGCCATTCTTCTCAGTTGAATTATTCTTGCGCAAAGCTTGTAACTGCAAACGTTTGTTTTCTTTAAGTAACTTTTCATTTTCACTGTCTTTTGTTGTGATCTTCGAGCGCATAGTCAATAATTCCTGCTCAAGTAAATCCAGCTGCCGCTTGGTGTCAATATTTATAGGTTTACCGTTTTTAAGAACAGATGACTCCGAACGATGGTCTTGTAAATCTTTAATTTGTCGTCTAACTTCTGCATTTTCTCTTTCTAGTTCATCAACCTTTTTATGCAAATTAGAGGCTTCTTGTTCATTAAGCTCAAGAAGTATACGTAATTCAGCTGGATCATCTTCATCCGATATACCTTCATCACGATCAACATGAGCTTCGGGCACTAAACGACGTGGAGTTGGGCTTAGTTTTCGTGCTACATTAGAAAAATTGAAATAGGTCACAAGCACTATATTAATATAAACACATTGCAACTCAACTGAATTCTATGGAACTCGTTGTCTTCACAATCAAAGTCTAGGAGAAATGTTGTTTGAAATATGTTTTGTATAAGAAGACAAGAAATGTTTTTATATATACATATATAAGGTGTTTCCTAGAAATCAGTATGAAAAGTGGATATGTTTCATCTTCATTTACAAAATAACTTAAATATATAATCACAAAAGGATATTTAATGAACTAGAAAAAAGTATGTGACTTGAGCTATTTGGATACACTTTTTTTAAGATATATAGTTTTTTGACTGAAAGTTTTAATGCACATAGATTTGTTTAGCACATTATATCTCAGAAAGTATTGAAAGGATTTTTCCATTTGTTGAACAAAGAAGGCAGTTGTTAACCCCTGCCTTTTAGCCATTTTCAGTGAGACTTAACTACAACTAATCTGGGCACCCTACCCTTAAAAAGAGGACAATAACTGTTCTCGTAATCACGAGTCATGGCTATAAATTTTAGCAAAAAGCTTTGGCATTAAGTTTTATTGCTAGATCATTAAATTTTCTGACATGTGACGATTAGCACATTTTTGCTTTGATTTTAAATGAATTTTTTTTTTGGGTATGTAGATATTCATATTTTTCGTAATTACATACCTACATAGGTATATCGAATCAAATCACAATTTATTTGTCGTCATGTAAAACAGCTGTTAATATCAAGGTAATCTTGCTACTCTAGCAAAATATCTAGAGTGTTATAAATTAACCGAAGTGCTATAAATTAACCTCAAGTGTTATACATTAATCTCAAGTGTTATATAGACTTGCTAATCGAAAATGAAAATTTGCACTAAACGTGAATCTAAATTAAAAAAGTTACCCAGATTTACCAATCAAAAACGACATTATAAATTTGTTTTCTTCATCTTCATCTTGATTCTTCTTGAGTTAGTGCTAATACGCACTTTTACTCTATAATGACTGGGGGGCTTATCTCTACCCCACACTAGGCTTTAACGTGTGGAGTATGTTTAAAGTATTTTTTTGATGTAAAAACTATAACATATATATTACAATATTTAAATATTGTACATTGGCTTATTTTAACCAATAAGTAACTGATATCGATTCTAAATATTGTAGTATGGGACGGACAGACAGGCAGATATCTTATAAACCATCCATAAAAAATATAAACGGAAGCAGAAATATAATTATGCTGCCGAAAATGTTAATATGATACCCGTATAGTCGTATTTTTCAATATTGTTGCTCAACACTTTCTAGATTAGACTGAGTGAGCTTCAAAGTTCTATATTCGAATTTAGATGAGTTGTGATGTATCTATATTAATGCGACTTGTGCTTGTCATAATAGAAATGGGTATATTTAAATTTGGAAACATTTAGTAACTTAATACATGCAAACAATTAAATAATTTTTACAAATATTAAAAAAAAATATTAGTAGGTAAGGTATAAAAAACAATAAAAGAGACGACAACTGTAAAAATAACAATTATTAATAAGAATCAAAGCAAAAGCATAAGCTTAGAATAGACATTTCTCAATTTAGATAATGTTAGTTGTAAGTTATGACACTTGAAAAAATTAAATTACTGGCTTAATTTCTCCTTTATTCATTTCCACTGTTATTTGGGGTGTTCACTAAAATGCATAATGAGGCACTTTAATAATGCATATTACACCACGTTTTTTGCGTTACACCTTATATCTTTTAAAAACGTTTAGCATTACTATCGACACGTTATAGTTGATGTAATTTTGGTTGCACGTTTCAGATTTATTCATTTAATAGAAGTATTTAAACAAATGCTCCTATTCTTCAATCTCAAGATAATCAACCAAGCATTCACCGATTGCTTTGCTAATAATTTAATACTTGTACTATGTTTACACTTACAATTATCGAACCTCATTAGCGCACTTTTGAATGGATTTTATTGCTGTACGTTTCTCAAATTAATGTGGATGTGGGAATATAATATCTTACTAATAGTCAGACGACTTAACAATTTTAACATGATCTCTAGTCTGTCAAGAAGTTTATAACACTGTAGAATATGGTGTAAACCTCTATTAGCAGTAGTGAATATATCATCGCACGGAATTTAAGTGATATTATAATTTATTTTTTGTTATGTTTAAAAAATAAGAAGGACATATGCGTTTATTGCACTCAATCGTAAGTCCAGTAAACTATTTTTTTAATTAAGTCATCATAAGTTATAATAATAAATTCTAATTGGATGGATCGTGCAAAAGGGCTAGAAACTCTGCATTCAAACTACTGTATGCACAAAATTGTAAAATTTAAAGTTACTTATTAAATTTTAGTGAATTTTATACCATGTTTACACTTCATATATAACTACTGTTATTTAGTAATTCTTACGAAAATACCTACATATGTTTATAATTATAACTAATGTTTATAATTATTCATTGAGTAACGATCCAAAAAAAAAAACTAGAAGCAATTTGTTTTTATATAAAATATGCTTTTTATAATGGTTTTTATATATTTTTTTAATTCGGCCGTAGGTCACTTTTTGTTAAATAATTCAATTTTTAATATGTTTTATTATATGCTATAAACTCTTCGACTCTCCTTGAGAGTCATCATCAGGATCACGAACTAAAATAAATAAATATTACTTAAACTATATCTACATCATCCTCATTCTATCATCTAAATTGAGTTCAATATAGACGATAGAATAAAGAGGAGGACGTAGATATAGTTTTAGTAGTATTAATTTACGTTAGATCGTGATCCTGATGATGACTCTCAATGAGAGTTGAAAAATAGAATATAATAAAAATATTGAACATCGAATTATTTAACAAAACGTGACCTATAGTCGGAATCAAAAAAAAAAATTTATCTATATATATAAACCATTATAAAAAGGTCGATAAATAAATTCAAAAAATGTTATGCTTTTTATATTTATTTGTAAACACATTTCTCTTTGTTTAGAGTTTGTTGATTATTTTTGTTTTGAATCGCTGCTTAATTTTTTTTGTTTTTGTTATTAAATAAATTGTATTTATGGGTTCTACATTGAAGTATTTCAAGGCAGCGTCCACTATTTAGAAGTTATTAAAAAATAAATAAGCTATGCACTTATCGATATAACTCGAAAAACGCGTTAAATGCTATAGTGTAAACATAGTATAAGACTTTCTCTTGTTTATGGATATTGAACAACCTGTCAAATACAGCAATTAATTTTTTCTATATAATAAATAACAGCTTTTTATAAAGGGTTAATAATTTTGAAAAAATTGCATTAAATAGGAAAGAAAAAAGAAAAAAGTGAATACTAATTTTTATATACAATACGCATACTTCTTGAACGTGTTGCCATTTTTTTCAGCTGCATCATTAACGAATCATTTTCATCCTCAAACCGAGCAACTTTTTTCCTTAAATTTTCAGCCTGAAAAAGTAAAAATCACTTATGTAAAAATTATTTACGTCATAATTAAATAATTAACTAAATTTGATTTGATGCTGTCCAACTTTTATAATTAGCAGAGCTGGCTGAACAACTTGTCTCGGAAAGATAATTAAAATGAAATTTGTAAAAATTTTTCTTTTTGCAAAAATAATAGAACTGATATCTAACAATAAAAATTATAGTTATTTAATTCAAGTATTGTATAGCTGTGGTTTATGGTTTTTTTTAAGGACAACAAATCAACAAAGTTAGTACAACACAAGTCAAGTTCGATTTTGGGTTTAGTTGTCTAAAACGTGACTCTGAGATTCATATTTGAATGAGTACCGGATAATAGTGGCTACTTGTAGTCCAAAAATCTGTTTACGAATAATTATTTAAATCCATGAAAATTACTGATGGAAGTTATTTGGCGGGTAAATTTTCTATCAATTAAAAAAAAAAATTTTCATTCTATCATTCACTATTGTTGAAAAGATTAAAGTAGTGTGTTTAAATAACATCTAAGTTTAGTGGCGAAGACAGGCTTCTACCAAGACCCCATTGGTACAATCCTGGTCAATCCACATTTGAACACGTCACTGATCAATTTTCCACCTTCGTATCGCTGTGCCACACTTCATAACAGGCTATTTTATAAAATGTACTTAAAATGAACCTATAGACAGAACTGTTCGATTATGTGGAATACATTAGCTACATTAACGTGAGAACAGAAAATTTAATATTCGTAGATACCAACTATATGAAATCTACAAATCTACAAAATCAAAATAATTATATATTATAACAAAAATAATTTCGTACAGAATACAACAATAAAATCCAGAATTAGTGGAAATTCCAGAAGTATACAAATAATGTTAAGACAAAATTTACTACATAAAAAACACAGGTTATATGAGACAAATTTGTCTTAACTTTTTTAACACTCCTACATTTACATTCCTTTCAAAAATTTGAACTTAAGTACCATATGATCGCTGTCAATTTGAATAATTTTACTATTGCTAATTGTAAACAATAAAAATAATTCAGAAATTGAAAGTTTAGTAATTATTATACTCTTCTAGTGTATTCTAGTGTACACTATACATAACAGCATATAATGCTGTTAAGAGCAAGGGCATGATACATACATATTTACTGATCTTTAATGAAACCTGCCAATAATTATTTTGAAAGTAAAAGTAACAATTAAAATCCTGAAATTGTTTAATAATAATTAAAAGATTATATTAGAAAACCCAGTAGTAAGTAGCATTTTAAAAGTCCAATATATACTATAGGTCTGTTCTTTGAGCTACTTGCACTAGCTTTGAGTAACACTATGTATACACAAGTGCGTTCCATTAGCAAATTTTCGAGTAAATAATAGCATCTGAGAATTTGAAAATATACTTCACAGACCTTACTCGTACATTTTATTTTAAGTAAAATTTGAACTGATGTGTAAATCAGCTGTTTTGGTTTTAATTCAAATTTTTGTATTATTGATTTGCGCGGCACTGGTGTTCTCACCAGATTTTACACAAAGCTGTTCCATGAATATCTGTTTAAAGAGCGTAGTTTGACACTGTATTTGTGTTACACTAAGTTTACATTGCAAGACTAAGAGATTAAGATAAGATAAAAGATTAATCTGCATTTTTAATCTCCACCGTGTACATCATACATTGGAGATTAATTTTGACGTTTCTCTTGTTGTGTTTTGTTTCGTATGTTTGATAAATTTCTGTAAATAAAACATTTAACTACAATTTTGTAATATAAATTTAATAAACAGTTTTATAACTATAATTTAACATATTTTAGTTATAATTATTTACAAAACTATTATTAAACAAATTTATTAAAAATTTACTCATTTCAGCATTTTTAAATTGTCAATGTTTGTTTGAAATAGATTTTGACATTTGTTTTTCAATTCTTCTAAGATCGTAAAAAAATTTACGATATTAAGCCATTTGCTGCACAGAGAAATAATCACCATTTCGAAGAAGATTTAAAATTAATCTCAACCAGAACGTGATTAACTTTTGTATGGCAAATCTGAGATTAAACAACGAGGTTAGTACTTTAATCTCGATTTTTGCTTTAATCTACTTTTAATCACACAATGTAAACGCCGTATTACGCTCTCAGTTTGTACTTTACTTGTGTTTTACTTGAGTTTTACTACGAGTAGCTCGTGGAATAGACCTTAAATATCACCTATTACACTGGAACTGCACAGACGTAATAACCGCTATAAATGGAGGAGTGTTGATTAAAGACCAATTTTAGTATATTCTAAATCATAGCTGTATTGAATAAACATATGCATGTTGATAATATAAAAAGAAGAAACGCTACTAGCCATCAGTTTTAAAGATTAATGGTACAAATATATGGGAACAGTTGTTTTAATTATGTTAAACAGTTAGAGTTATTATATATAATTACAGCGGATCGAATAAAATATTTTAAAATACATATTTGTTCTACTTAAATTTTGAGTGATGAGTGATAAAGTATTATACGTACAAGTACTTTTATAATATGAAAAAGCAAACACATTAAATAACAAAATAGGATAAGAAACTATTTTTTGATTATACCTTTATCACTTTCAGTTCCAGCTAACGCATTACTTAGTAAAACACGTGATATAGTTGCTGGAAAGAGTAAACCTCCTGATCTTGTGTTTTTTTTATATGCAACTCCAGAAAATACTGAGTATGCAAATGGTGTCAATTCTCTTTCATGACTTAACTTCGGAAAGCTGTAACTTGGAGTTACATCAGAATTTGATACTGAGGAAATATGTTCGAAGTTCACAGTTTTCATGATAGCATTGTCAGTGAATTGTTCATTCTCAGCAGATCGTTCAGTATTTATAGTGTCAGTTAGAGTGTATTGTGTTTTTCTATCATTACACTTTATGAAATCGGTATCTGTAGCACAGTTTTCTGTTATTACCGAAGTAGTTTGAGTATCTTTCGATACTGTAAGTTTTTGAAATTCTAAATCAAATGTTTGCGTACCCTGATTAATGCCATATTTCACATTTAATAACCGTTTCATTTTATTATTCTTCATGTATAAAACTAAATTAATTGAAATATATTAAAGAGTAAAATTTATATAAATACCTCTTCTTCTGCAAACTTTAATTGATCTTTAAGATCAGATTCTCTCTCAACGGAATCTTGAAGGTCGCGTAGCAGCTGTTGAGGATCCTCTTGGGACCCACCACGTGTTAATGATTCTCTCGTGAATTTTGCTTCTGCTGAGGTTGATTTTCCGATAGCTCCAAGAAGTGGCGGTTTCTTTTTACCAGGACTTCGAAGTTCTTCCGCTTCGGCCTAATTTTAAAGCAGAAAAATCATTTAAAATATCTCAATATAAATCTTACAATTCGATTCTTCATTTTTAAACCGAAAATCAAGAATAACAAAATTTTATAAGTACGAAGAAATGGGTAAGCGGAATTAAGTGGAATTCCAAGTTAAATTATAATAAATTGATATTACTTATAAGTAAACATCAAATTTGCATATTACCTTAAATATCATACAACTCATTGCAATGATTGGCTATAATAAGACTCTAAAATTGACCTCGACAATCGATCGAGCGAAAACAAGAATATATACTATGATTCCTCCTTCAGTGTAGGTGTTAGAAATTTTGCAAGGTAAGCTGATTCCATCGTATGAGTAGATTTAAATCCTATCCCGTCATCCCATACTTGCAATTGCGTTTACATTAGAAATAGAGTTACATTTCCTACCAAAGGCTGTAATCTACACAATAAAAGAGATTTCACGCCGGCTTCACTCTTTATCCAAGAGGTGGATCCAGTTATTAAGAGTGGTCATAGCAGGTGACCACTTAAAGTATTTTAAACACAATTTGTGTCAAGCTCCCAAATTTATTTGAAATATTTATCTTTAATAAAATAAGACTAAAATTTTTAATCGTATGGAAAATATTAGTAATTTCAGAAGTTTGTCATAGTGAACAACCAATTCAGATTTCGAAAAAATCACATAGTTGTTATATGTTATAGGTTGACATAAAAAATTCTAAATGATCTGCAAGATAGATATTTTTTTCTGGTTTTTGGTATGGAACTTTTTTTGGTGTGAAATATGAGATTCTTAAAACTTACAATATATGTTCTCAGTACAGTAAATATACGAAAACTAAGTGATAATTTTAGCTATAGCAATAAGTTTCGCCGAAATATACTAACCAATATATATGCATAGCAAGAAGTAAACTGTAGGATATTCTCGACAAAACATTAGACTGATACAGAAAATTGTATAAAAATTAATCTAAAATTAATTAATCTAAAAAATACAATCTAAAGTTGTATGTAATACCGATTGTATTCTCTGATAAGAAAAATTTCCCCTTAGAGCAGTTCATAAACTCTAAAAATGATCCTGTTTACTTAACTGAACGCACTGCCGAAAATTTGAGACTACGAACGGCCACCCGTATTAATTTTCCAACTTAAGCGATAGACGCTCTCCGATCATTTTTATCGAGCCTGGTTTCAAACTCAATGCGATTTTTTATCGGAAAAATGTTTTAGAAGTTGCTTTAGAGTCATTTCATTTCGGTCGTAAATCATGGACGTTCTAACAAGACCCGGCATGGGTCTCGGTTTCATAAAGCTCGTGTGAATCAAGTATGGTTAAAATACCATGTTCAACACTACATTTCGTCCACATAATGGCTTTCCAATTCTGGCGAATTCGAATATCCGATGAACTATTCTATCTGGGCCATTTTATGGCGCAAGGTGAGAATTAAAAAATATGCCAGAATGAATATGCTGAGGAAAGCCATCGTTGGGAATGGGCCAAAATACCAGAATTCACATTTGTGAAGTTGGAACTCATTTTTTAACCGGTCATGAAGGTCATAGTCAAGGCAAAAGGTAACCACATCAAGGTAGAGTGAATGGATTCTGAAATTTTAATTATTTCCAAAATTTTTGAAATTTCAATGAATAAAAAAAAATTTCACACAAAAAAGGTATGGTACCTAACAAAAAATGTAAATAAACAGATATACACATGTTTTAGGAATTAAAAAAAATATGTTTTTCATTTGATGAATCAGATATTTAAGCGAAAAATCATTTTCTAAAACATACCTGTAGTCTTCTGGTTAGTTCACTGGAAAATCGCAACTCTTCTTCCAATTTTTTAACTTTTAGTGCCAAATCGGTATTGCAATTGTTTTCCTTCTCCTGCTCAAGTACTTCAATTTTTCTTTCAGATTTTTTCAACTTGAAAGAAAGGATTCTACAGTTCTTAGTTGTTTTTTCCAGATCTTTTTGTAGACTTGTTTTCGCTTTGATGTCGTCTTCACGATATGTATCTTGCAACTCATCCATTTCGGCCTGTAAATTAATAATTTCTTTTTTAGCTACCTGATTTGCTTCCATCAACTCCTCACAAAGTTGTTCGGCAGCATTTAATTTCCTTTTTAATTCATATTCAGAGCTCTTTGGATTATTTTCGATATCCTTCATACGCATATTAAGCCGTCGTTTCTCATCACTTGCTTTCTCGAGCTGCTCTTTCAGATCGTTAACTTTCTGTTGTAGCATTAAAGCCTCTGAGGCCGCCGTACGATTCGGTGCGGTCTCCATTGACGCCAACCGTCGAAGTAATATATCGCTTTTATCCCGCTCTGCACGTTCGGCACGTACTTTCATGGATTCTAAATCACTGCGTAAGGTTTTTATTTCATCATGTAATTCGCGTTCATTTGACCCTACTAGTGTCGTGTCAGTTGTTTCGGTTGTAAGTGACATGTTATCATGCGCTGATCTGCGCTCAGCATATTTAGTGTCTTTGATTTTCAGTAAGAATTCTACATCTTGCGTGGCTTTTTGCCGATCTGTTTCTTTGCGATTTTTGCCAGATGGAACTGAAGATGCTGAAGAGTTTGTATTATAAGAGTTAGTATATGTTGAGTTCGTTGCTGTTGCATTTGCAATCGATGTGGTCAAATTTGTCGCATTTTTAGTGCTACTCGTACTTGAAGTACTTGAACTGATTGAGTCTCTGGAAACTTTTGAGGTTGTTGTAGGTAATGACATTGGACGTTGTGAAGTGTTAGTGGCATTTGTTGTGGTGGAAGATGCTGAAGTTTTCTTTGGCGGTAGTGAACTACGCTTTGTATCGGCATTCACTAAAGTACTCGATTTACTTCGCTCTGGTCTATCAGGAGGAGGTTTACTCTCTGGTTCACTGTTTTTAAAATTGTTTGTTTTAAAGAAAAATTTTCTTAATTCCTTAAACAATAAGTATAACATACTTACGTTTTATCTTCTGTTTTTCTTGGTACTGAACGTTCACGGCTGGATTCTCTTGAGTTAAGACTTCGCTGCTTTTTCAGTAAATTCATTTTACGTACACGCTCTGCGAGACTATCTGTAGATAGGATGACTAAATCATCTGGAATACTTCTTGATGGTGAGGATGATGGTTGTGGTGATGGTGATGATAATTTACTATTCTGTAGTAATGAGTCTTCAACCTGTATGAAATATTAATTTTGCTAATGGTATAAATTGATTACGGAGACTTTGTCAATTACCTCTTTAAGGTCTAAAGTTGTAGTGTGTCGCCGCGGAGGCAGTTTGACTGTAACGTCCACACTATTCATTTCAGGTCGACTTGGTGCTGAGAGACCACCAGAGCGAGGTACTCCAGTTGCCTCATTGTCTTCATCGTCAATATCTGGCGTTGAAGCCCATGACTGGGGCCTTTTCTTAAGTTCTATATTGAAGTTTACAACTAATTTGAGTACATTTGTTTTTAGGCGATTTTCGTAGCGAAGTGTCATGCAAGCGTGCGAATTTTGTTATTGTTGCATAGATTTTTTATTATTTATTGTTGTTTAGTTTGCGAAAAGTCCAGATAAACGCAAATTTTTTCAATAAAATTATTTTTAATGTTATCAAGATTACATCAAGTTACAATAAAATTAAGTTGCAATATAATGTTTTTTTTTTTGTGCAATATACGATACAATAATAAACGTACGTCGATATCCACAGTAAGTAATATTTAAACGGTTTGTGATCGAGACGTCAGCAGTTTGGACCGTATTTCGTGGTAAACATTGTAAGTTATATATTGATGATGTTAATTGATTACAGATCGACACATACATATACATTTTACATTCATGTATATTACGTAAATTTAAATTAAATTAGTCATACGAGTATTTTATCATTAACAATGAAGATCCATTAACAGTGAGTTGAAACATGTGAGTATCAGAGTGAGTATTGCAGTAAATCGCATACAATAAGACACAGTTTAGAAAGTGAAATGTAGATGTTTAATACGTGAAACATACAATAAATCAAGAAATAAATTTTATTTATTAATACTATTGCAAACTGAAAATTAAGAAAAAGAAGTGTTTTTATGCGTATGTTTGTATAGCTCCCTTAACTATAAATACTCTCATAACTAAAATTTTTGTTGTTGTTTTTTCATATCTATTCGAACCCTTCTAATTTTTAAATAGCTTAAAATTATAACTTTAACATTAAAAAATTCTCTCTTAATTGTTTCCGTTTGTGAAAAAAATATCTAATTAGAAATGTTTATCTATATCAGAGCTGTCCAAAGCACGGCCTGCGTCTAATATTTCTGCTTCCGGCGACAAGTTTTTAATCTACTAAAATTACGCCAATTTTTTTGGTAAATAAAATAATGTAGATTTTATTTTTATGGTGTATCAAATTATTTAATTTAAATTGAAAAAATAATAAAACTAAATTGAACATTATAACCATATTTTTATGTTTATCGAAAAGAACTGTGAACGTATGTATTTGTTTCTGCGGCCCTCCAATTTGTATTAGCCTGTAATCGCAACTGGTCTGAACAGCGCTGATCTACATTATTCTTTCTTCAAATAGAAAATGGAGTAATACGAATAGTTGGAAGTTTTTGCATTCAAAAATTTAATCTTCAACACGTTAAACTCTTGAACGGAGTTCAACTCTTGAGCGGAATTTAAATCTTGAACTTTAAACCATAAAGGTGTTTCGGATTTTGCCAAATATATATCCTCAACGATCTTTGGGAACAATTATTGTTTTAATCGTCCATATATAACCTTTTGATTACGAATGTTAAGAATTTAACCCTGACAATTTTAAGCAGTAGATTAGCATGTTAATGCACGAAACAATTATACTTGCTATTTCAGCAGTAACGCATAAAACACAGCTATATAAATTTACTTAACTCAGTATTACCCACTTTTCTATATAAAACAAATGAAAAATAAAAAATTGTGGGCATTTATAATTTAGCGATTAAGATCGTGTCACTTCTGAATTATGTTTAAAATTCCATTAAATGGGGTTATCACATCTTCAGAAAAAAAGCAACACCTCAAGCAATGCAATGAGTTTTTGTGGATGAGATAGACTTTCAAACGTTACTTGTACCAGATGTGATTGATTTTCACTATTTCATCTATCAGGCTTATTCTCTGAAAAAAATATCTTCAACAAACAGAAGATGTTGAAGAGTCGTCATCTTACCGACTTTTTTCGAATACCTAATCAACGTATGTTTTACGCATTGTATGATCCATACTCTAAAATGGCAAAACTTTGAACTAAATACCTATACGATGTCTTGAATGACACGACTACAAAATGGACAAATTATAATCATACAATATTGTTGCATGGTGTACCTTCAAAGAGCTTATGAGATTAATTAAAGTGAATAAATAATATATGAGCTGCTATATAAAGACTACGCAAGCCTTTGCCATTAGACATATTAATTTATCTAAATATAATAATAAACGCCTTAAACCACAATCTGTTAAACTGTTAACAATTTGCTCAGTTTAGTTAAATAATGAAAAATATTAGCTAAAGCCTACAGAAATTTAAATAGAATGCTTAAGTTTTAATGTACTTTAGAGTAGACTAATAACATAAAATAAAATTGAAATTAACTGACGTATACCAATTGTTAAAAAACAATTTATGTGGGTAATGTACCATACCGATATCTTTGTTAAAACTAGCTCCATTTGTTGATGAAAGATTTTGTGTTGATGTCCATGATCGTGATGATGGTCTGTAAGAGCAATAGCAATAAAGACATCGTTTGCATTCAAATAAAATATATATACCTGGAATTCTGGCCATCTGAGAGGTTTGGAGAAGATGCTGCTACATCTTCCATACCACGTCGTCCGCCATGCTCTTTGTAGTCACGAAAGCAGCGCTTACATCGTGTTGGATAACGAGTTTGTGGATGAAACCCTAGTGGGCATAGTTGGTCGCCTTTTAATGATGGGTACAAATGATGCATGATTGATAATTGGAATTATTTAGTTATGATGTTAGGAAATAAATATCTACAAAAAATAAATAACATGTTTATAAATTGTTAACTATTTGGTTGAATATCTAGTTCAGCATTTGATGTTCTTAATAATTTTTTATCGCACTCACTTAACCCTATTTTAAAACTAATTTGGGATTAAAAATCAGCCACTCCATTATCAACATTTTCAATATTTCAAGAATGCAGTCTGTTCGGTTGAAATCATATTTGGTGATGTGTACATGCAGGCCCAAGGACTAAGGTGTAACCCATCTTAATCGATCACGATTTGCCCGTAAGTATATTTAATTCTCTACTATATCTTCATATGTGTGAAGACAAATCACTTATAAACTACTGGAAGATTGCATTATCTAGCCCAACAATCATGAATCGGAACTCGAAAAGACCGAATAAGTTTGTGATTGATGTTTCTATAACATCGTCTTCAGATGCAGGGATCTGAAGATAAATGTTTTGTAGATTAATGTACGAAAATATATATGTTAGGCCATGACATCGTTCATAAAGAATATTTAATATCGTTTGGGTATCACTTGCGGGTTAAACAAACCAGCAAATTTGTTCTTAAGGAATTAAACTTACTCAACAGCTGTTTGTTATATATTAAATAACCATTTGGACCAAAATTTGGGCGTCGTTCTTCGATTCTGCTAATTTGGTTGCACTTAATTGCGCCTTTGTGGGCTGGGATCATCCAATTCTCCAGTTGTTTTCATATAGTGCTCTACCTAAGTCTACAAAGTTGGAACTGATAGTTTATATCTTCAGCTGCAAATATCAGTGAGAAATCCCATTTAAAACCAAGAGACAGGGCGAATGCTTTGTTACCAGAAGTCGAGGGTCTTGATTAGCGGGGTCTTAATTTGTAAATGCCTTTGGTAATCGGTATCCTTTCGACATTTTAAATTTAAATTTTAATATATATTTTTTTGTGACAATTTAATCATATGAAAAGACAAAATATAACATAACTGCTATCATTTTTGTTAATAATTGGTGTACTAAATAGCGTAGAAAAATAGTAAACATATGCATTATAGTGCTGCGAATATTCAATTAATGGGTAAAAAAAATCTTCAGATAATTAAGCAGTGAAAAGGAGATGAAAAGATCGGGAGTAAACAAATGGCATCAAAAATTAGTCTGTGGAGGAGCAAAATATCTGAGTTATAAATTTGAATATATGTATGCAGGCGCCTGCAGATAGGGCGTTCAAAAAATAATGAAATAAATGTTGCAAGTTTTTATAACAAAAGCCATCAAAGTCATGGATGTCTTATTTAAAATAACCGTTAATGCAAATATGAGTGGTCGTATGGTGATAATCCTACCCCATTATAAAAATATGTATGGATGATGTCAAAAATAAATCAATCGCTCAATCAATCGGAACAATTAAATGTTTAGACTACATTGAACTAAGGTGGATGCTTATATGTTAAAAACACATATAGATTATTAAAAAAACAAACTTTTACTGGAGAGAGCAGTTTATACTCCATGAGATAATACGCTTTCGCTGTATAAACTCTGCTTTAAGATAAAAAGTGCTTCAAAAATAAGTTGCACATAAACCGTTTAATTTTTGCGTTAAGAAAATAATAGTTATTTTTGAGTTTTTCATTTTTAAGCAGAGAATATTAATTAATTTTGTGTTTTAAAATAAAAAGCAGAATGTGCGAATTATTCCTGCATACAAAAAAAAAAATATTAATAATTATTTTTGAAAAATATATATGTATATATAAAATATATATTATATTTTATATTATTGAATATAAATATTAATAATAAATTTTTTAAAATATATACAATGCAAATTTAATTATTTTTTGAATTTATTTTATATGATAATGTTAAAACTCATTTGTTTATTTTTTTTAATTAATGACTATTACGGTTCTTAATTAAAAAAATATTTTTTAATATCCCTCCAAAACCTAAAATTTTGAATTTTAATTCGTTATTGCAAAAGACCCACATGGGTGAAAAACGGGTAGCAAATTTAAGCTCAACAGATCCAAGTTAACTTAAAACCATTGTAAAATCGAAAACAATTCGACTATAGTACTGTCGTAAAGATATGTAACGATGTAACGATCAGTCTAAGTCAAATTATATAATTAACTTGAATATCTATTGGAGACAAATAGATCATACAAAGTCTATATATGGTGATCTCTCATTTGGAATAGATTTAACGGACTTTGCTTTACAAAAGAATTGTTTAGTTTTTAGTGTTCGTGCTAATCTTCGAAGAAGTTCACAAATACAAGTACTGGACAAGTTGCAATCAGTGCTTTTTGAAATTTTCAAAATGAAATTATTATTTAAAACCTACTCTTATAAGAAAACGTTCCATTACCTTAAATTATTGTGTAAAATTATGCAGCATGTCAATTTATGTGGCCTGATAAAATCTCTCAAAATTTAGAAAAGGTGTAGTAAACCATTAGAATGTGTTAATGAGGATTTGATCGAATTATTAATGATTAAGCACTTTTTCGTGTTGGTAAAAACTTATATCAAAAGGTTAGAGATATGCTTGATACCTATTATTATCACAGCAACGACTACGTCTTGAATATAATATACCATGTCGGATAAATAAGGACAAGGAGAGTGGAAAACTGTTAGAACTAACAATTGTAAAACGTATTTTGAATTTAAATGAATAATAAATGTAATAACCAAAAATATTTAAAAAGAATAATTGTTTTGGAAAACAATAAAAGTATGTATTTATTAATATCTTTATAAAGAGGTTCTAAGAACAGTAGTGAACTACAACTAAAATTCGTTTTATATTATTTCATTTAATTGAATTTTGGCTGACCATACAGCTGTTTTGAGTATTGCCAAATACCCACCATCACCACCACCATTATTCGTAAATAATTTTTTAAGACTGCAAGTACCCAAGGTTTAACTCGTGCCCTGCCAAATTTGAAGTCCAGAGTCAGCGTTCATTACCCAACTGACTTAAACCCGAACTTGACTTGTATGTTCGCACTTTTTTCTAGTGCGAACCGTTAACCGTGACAGTTGTTAAGAGCTTTAACATTTAAAAGATCAAAAAGATCTTAGCAAAGGCTCAGATAAAATCGATTAAAAATTCCATTTTTCAACCAGCGAAGTAATGTGGGTAGAAAACAACCATATCATATATAAAACTATTATTTCTTATAAGCATTTTCTTCATACCCATATAACGAGATTCATTTTTTTGTTAATCCTAATGCCCGTCCCGGACGACTACAACCCATACGTCCGCTACCATCAATGATGTCAATGATGTTAAATGATCATTGATCAAGACTTATTCCAGTTCTAACTCGAACATTATCCATATTGAGGAAAATATGTCATTAAAATCAGAAGAGGACTTCAACAAATTTTCTCTATACTTTTTCTCTGTCAAATTTTCGTTCGCCGGTAGAGTTTACATAAGCGTGATTGAGTTCATATTGACAGGAAATTTATTATAGAAGTATCCTAGTATTTTTTATTGAAAGTAAATAATAGCATCGTTTTTTTTTTGTAATTTATATATATAATAAATTGTTTCTTATATTGTTCATTATTAATAAAATAATAAAGTTAATAAGTGTGTTAAATTAATTGTTTGTAATTTTAAAATCAATTATTTTTATCAATAATGACATTTATTAAATTTTATTTAATTTGAAGTGAGTCGTTTATGAAAGGAATTTGTTTGAGAATTTCGGAGTGTTATCAGAAGTCTCAGATTTAATAAAATTCGTTATTTAATTGTGTTTCTAAATAAACCTCGCATAGAATTTTTGGAATTTAAACAATCAAATACATAATTCAAGAAATACAATGATTGTTCCTACAACTATTGGAAAACAAATAAAATGGAATCCAATAATAAGTAATTAATTATAATATTACCAATTAAATAAGAAGTGTTTCACATTAGATGTGAAATGTAGTATTTAAAAATTATTTGCAGTTATGTACATACTATATTCTTCTACTTTAAGCTTAATTAATTCAATTTTAAGTGCAGCTCCTAAACATCTACAGTCTGAACGAAGCCTAATTGCTCCCTAATTTGCCACTAAAAAAAGTAAATGCTGTAATTAATGGCCGTTCATAGCTATGATAACTCACAGTTATACAAAGGTGTTTAGAAGACTATTTTTTAAAAACCTGAATCTCAATCGTAGTGTAAATTAAAGAATTATTGTGTTTTTATATGTTAATTTTTTTTTTGTCTTTTTTGTCTTATAACAAAAAGAAACTATTTTAAAGTTAGAAGGATTCGATTAGTTAAGTAATGAAAAAATAAGAATAATTTCTAAAACCACTAATGATGAGTACTTGGTAATACTCGAAACAGCGTTGTACGGTCAGCCAAACTTCAACAAATTAACTAAAATGTTTGTTGTTGTCTTTTTATTGTGTTTTCATTTTGTATTTGATTTATTTATATAATATTACAAGTTTGCAAAGTTAAAAAAAAATCAAAAGAAGACTAACAAAAAATAGAGAAAAAGAATAAAAAAGGAAGCTTTTTAATTATAAAAACTTATATTACATTTTTTTTCTGAAACGAGTAGAAAGTTAGTGACGTTGATCCGTTGGTCTACAAAAAAAATGTACTACAACGTTACCGATTTAGTCACGTTGGTCTACTAAAGAATATACTGAAACGTTACCGATCTGGTCAAGTTGGTAATTCTAACGAATTTATTTTAACGTCATTTATTTGACCACACTGGTCTCCTAAGAAATTTACTTCAACGTCACCGATTTGTTCACGTTGATCTACTAAGGAATTTACTTAAATATCACTGATTTGGTCACGTTGGTCTACTGAGGAACTTACTTCGACGTTACTGAATTGGTCACATTTGTCTACTAAGAAATTTGGTTCAACGTTACTGATTTGGCCACTTTGATCTACTAAGGAATTTACTTCAACGTCATTGATTTGGTCACGTTGGTCTACTAAGGAACCTACTTCAACGTTACTGGTTTGGTCACGTTGGTCTACTGAGGAACCTACTTCAACGTTGCCGATTTGGCCATATTAAGCTACTAAGGAATATATTACAATTTTTCTTAAAGAAGGCATTGCTACCAAGACTCTAATTGTTAATTTTGCTGCTTGTAACACAAAAATATTCTATATATTGAGATCTAGCAACATTTTCAGCAAAAACAAAACTAACTTTAATATTAAAAAAATCAGAAACTTTGAAAAATTTGTAATAAGAATACACGTATGTAGTCTCAGATTTGATTGATTCAAATGTCAGAGAAGAAATTACCATTACTTAAAAAATATACCACTTTTTGCTATGCAGAAGCACTTTTTCACATATAACAAACCAACTTAATAATCAGAGAAAGTCAGAAACTTTGAAAAATGTGTAATAAGAATACACGTATGTAGTCTCAGCTTTGATTGAGTGAAATGTCAGAGAAGAAATTACCATTACTTAAAAAATATACCACTTATTGCTATGCAGAAGCACTTTCGCATATATAACAATCAAACTTGTTTGTCAGAGAAAGTTAGAATCTTTGAAACATAATAAAAAATAAAAATATAGTGTCAAATTCTGATGTGGTCAAATGTCAGAGAAGAAACCAGCATTACTCAAAACTTCTTCTCTAATCAATACTCCAAAATATTTCATACGTTGCGATTAAGCAATACTACAGCACACATATAACAAACAAACTCTATGGTAATGTGAGAGGTAGTCAAATCTTTTAAATATTTTTAATAAGAATACGGTCTCAGATTTTGATTGGACCAAGTGACAGAAAAGAAAACACCATTACTTAAAACTTGCCACTACTCAAATCAATACTTCAATCCTTGTACTACAAAACTATTCCAGACATTTTGATTTATTAATTTTATTTATTTATGATTTAATAAAAAAACCTCTTGGAACATCCATTTCTAACACTAAATGTATTTATAAACAACAATATCAGTATATATAATATTACTTACATGTAGCTAACAAAACAATTGTTGCAATCGTTGGAGATATTTTTGGTAGAGTTCTAGGCTTCTAATACTACCTCTCTCTCCTGATGCTTACTGCCTAAGCAGATGATGATGCATTAATATGCTAATAATGTTGCTATTTGATATCACTTGCATGTAATTATGATGTGTTGTAATTACTAGAAGCACTTCCTTATCGTTGGATATATTGGTCCACTGTTTATTTCGCCGAATAATGTTGTGTTGTAATTACTAGGAGAGCACTTTCTTATCGCTGGGTATATTGGTCCACTGTTTCTTTCGCCGCTTCAATATTGTTGCGTCAACTCATTTGCTTATTCGATAAACTGAGTTGCATTAGCATTAGAGAAAGTAAATTCTTTTTTCTTGCTTTCTTCCATTAAATTCACAAAATGATGAGTTGCGTAACACTTTCTTACAATATATATCAGAAAAGGAAATTTCGAAAACTTATTTTCGTATGCAAAATTTTTTTGGAAATAGATTTCAAACAAACAGGAACGTTTACATTCTGAAGAGATGTCTTTGCGTATTGAGAAAAATGCGTTTTTTTAAAAAGAAAAACGGTTTTAAAAACGGTTTTTGAACACATAAAATTAGTGAATTGCAGAACCTTTATGTCGACATTTATGTCTAATGTGAAGTTTATTAAGAATTAAACCAGCGCATGTTTTCTGTTTTTTTTTTTCAGTGTTCAGTATTCAGTGTTCAGTGTTCAGTAATAAAAGTTCAATCAAACAGAAACACGAAAATAAATTGAAATTTTACTTAAAAATATTTTTATTACAAAAAAATTAGCTGCGTTTTAAAAATAGCACAGATTTTAGTAAATAGCAGAAGATTTTGCTCTCTTTTTGGGGGCGCTCTTATCCCTCCTATGAACGGATCGGATCGGTGTTTATCGGTTTAAGTTATTTCTAATTTTCGTAATATTTTCTACTCGAGTTGTCGATTTTCTATAAATTAGGGAGAGTCATATAAATAATGCAGTTTCTTTTCGGATTTTTTTTTTTTTTTTATAAACAATCAACCAGAATTTCCATTCAACAAATCAAATTAAAAGTTAAAAGTTATGCAAAACACATAATTATTTGAATAACTCATTTTCATTTCAGTAAACACACACATTTATGTCTTTTAATTGTAGGACGAACGCGTTCTTTCAGAGTGACAACTACTTTTTCGTGTGAACGTTTTCAGCATTGAAGTGCTCAGAGGGAACTAAATTCAGAAGATTTTATTCAATTTCTTTTACGCGGAAAATGATTTTGGCTCAGATGTGCATTTTTCTACATTTTCAGCTCTCTGCGAAAAGTGAATTGTTTGCGATGTACTCAGACAGCACACTTAAAACTAGTCCAATATCTCTCTGTACATATGTATGTACCATATGTACCATATGTACAGGCCCTAAGTCAATAGCAGATTGCTACAATTCCTACAAGGGCCATAATCAGGTGGCGTAAAATATTTTCAAATTCTATTTTTGAAGTAAACGGTTTAATGCTGTATTCTCAGCACACTAATACATATGTTTATTCCACTTTCCTTAACGGCAAATCCTATATGAAGTTGGTGGTCATTATATAGAACAAACGAACAAAAATATATTTAACAGTGTATCCCTACTAATTATTTTAATTACGTCAGTGGTCCTATACTGTTGCACAGTGTGATAGAATCAAAATTTACCAATCAAAATATTTTATAAATTAGTATACAGAAAAATGTTTCTTATAGTGCATATTATGTACTATACACCAAAAAAATTAATAAAATCACATCAAATATTACATAAAGAGGCTTTTTCGAATAGAACAATACAACAACAAAAAATATTGTTCTTTTATTTTACTTAATTGAATTTTTGGCTGACCATATAGCTGTTTCGAGTATTGCCAAATACCCACCATCACCACCACCATTATTCGTAAATAATTTTTTGAGACTGCGAGTACCGGGAACCGAACTCCCATCCTGCCAAATGTGAAGCTCAGAGTCAGCGCTCCTTAACTAACTGACGCACGTTTTCTGGAGTTGTGTTGCTTTGCTATAAAAGTTTTATTAACAAATTTACTTGCTGTGTTTATAATAGAACCAAATCATAAACCAGCTGTAGAATAATTGAATCAAATATTATTATAATTAGTCAGGAATATATCTTTATTAAAAAAAATTTACTTTTAAATACATTTAAACTTGTTTATTAGTAAAAAATAAATTAAAGTTCAATAATTAATGCTCTTTCATAACATTACGTTAAAAAACCTATAATAAATACATTAGGGATATTAAGAGTATAGCATTAGGAGTCTGCTCCTACCTAAATATACCCATGGCTGATATACTGCTTAAATTGTCACAATTTTACCTGCAGTTGGAAACCGTGAATGACACCAACTAATTTTTCTGTGTCCTCGTATATATCTAGAAAACTTACAACGGTAACAAAACACTAAGTTTTTAATTAGAAATATTGACTAGCTATTGATTAGCTAACTATAAGATTTTTTTACCATAACTCCATTGCTGCTTGATGGACGATATATCCCAGCTTTGACTAGGCTCTGGAATTCTTCTTTTGGTGAATAATTTTATTTGCATGACAATTTGTCGATATTGGCATAATAATATTAAAGTACTTTTTCAGTAAATGTGCAATTTTAGAAGATATATCGTTTATATTTTTCGTGTACTTATCTTGTGTTCGCTTTTGACTTAAAAGATATATGTTAATGTGTCGATCAATTGTGTCTTTTTTATATTTAGTACTATTGCAAAGTGATTTGACAAAATAAGCTCCAATGATTTTTTTTTTTTTTTTTGAATCCATTTATTTTATTACAATCTGTGAGGTATGAATGAGAATAAGTAATATATATAATTATAAATCGTAATAATAATTATTATGATCTAAAAAAAAAAAGACACGTATGGACTATGCCCAGTGACATATCCATATATATTTAAAATAACATTGTGTGATCTATAAATACATATCTAAAATATCTCTCGATGTTTTCCTTCTCAGCCTTGTAAAAGTGTTGGAAGGGGACATCAGGTGTGTAACCAGCGGGTTTGGGTGCATATATATGCGATGAGCGTAATTCTTTAAAATACTGGCTATTTCTTCCTTGATTCCTTGATACTGGCCCCAATGATTAAAGTATTAATTGTAGAAATATTAGGGTAAGTAGGATTTTAATCTGCATTCTGAAAAATTCGTTCAACGTGCATGAGTTTACTGAAATCCATTTAAATCAGCATTACCTATAAATACCTTTTAAATGCAAATGAAGCTTATTAATATCTCTCTTTCTTATTTTGACTTCAGTATGTAAAAAATTAGTTATCACCTTTGCAAAATGGGTTTGTTCGAAGAGATAGATTGTCGACTTTGCTTAGAAACAGACGAGATCACATTCTTTGTGACTGCCCAACCTTGATCTGGGACAGGAGGAGGTTACTGGGTCGAGAACTACTCTCCCCTTCTGACTTTAGGAGGTCCGCAACGGCTGACATTCTGGCTTTGATTCTGTTCGTTTAGGATCTGTTGCAACACAAAAGATCAACCATGGTCGCAGTGCTCTCCTCCGTTGAGAGCTGGTACCCTGTTTATTCCTATTCCTATGTAAAAAATTATAAATACACAATAACCAAACATGTATTTAATAATAATGAATTATAATTCTCAGTTAATTTAAAGCTTGTATTTTATAAATTTAAAAACTGTATATGTGAAAAGATGAGATTACTTTTAATGTATTATATGTAGTAGTTATGTACTTATTCTTGTTTCGTGTTTGCAGATAACTATTACTTTATTAATTTTATCAATTAATTGAAGCGTGTTAAAATACACATAATATATTATAATAAGATTTTGGTAAAATTATATGGAAGTGTTTTGATATTGCTAGTTTTATAAATTATAATTATTACATTTGGTACTTTACTTTATAAATATAAATACATATTAATTTAAATTTAATTATATTTCAACTGAAAATTATTGCAATACCTAAGTTGAAAAAATTGTCATGTAAATATGTAATCAAACACATAATAAAATAATTGTTATATTACTTAATAAAATAAATATTTTATTAATATGGTGCTTCATTATGAAGGCATTCTCTGACCGTGTTAATGGACTCCTGCACATAGTGATTCTCTTTTTAACTTTTTTCTTACAGATAACACGGAAATCGTTAATAGATAAAGCAGCCTTCATGATGTTTAACAGAAGAGAAACTCTCAACATCAACTTTGTTAGTAAAATACGGACATTAATAGTACATTCATATTTTTTCATTTAGGCACTTGATCATTTATATTAATGAGGAAACATTCACATTATAGTGAGTTCATTTATGCTCATTATTAAAGAACTTTCTTCTGTTTACAAATGAAATACAGAAAAAAATCCGGTATTGTGTAAAATAAATTTTTTAAAATAGAAAACGCGGAAAATCTAAAAAATATTTTATATGTGAAATGATCAACAATAGAAACAAAGCAATATTTGAATACCGTAAATGTCGCGCAATGCACAGAAAAATGATATTTGAAATAAAGGAAAAGCAAATAATAATACTTTGCACAATATTTGCTGGAAAACGGAGAAAGTGCTGGACTTTAGTTAGTACGGCCAATAAAAATTATTAAATAAAATTTAAAATTACCATTTGTTTTTTTCAGGAAATGGGCATGTATGAAAAAATTGCCCAGAAATCTCTTTAATATGTGGAAGTACTTTCACTCGAATGGCGTCTCTCCAGAAACTCCAACTGTTGTTTTTTTCCTGATTTAAAACAAACAAACAAACAGTTAAATTAAAGTGATTAATAGCAACTTATTACTTAATAATATATCACACAAAAAAGTTATATATACATATAATTAATATATTAAATCATTTACATATATTTTAAATATCAATTACATATTAAATTAATAAAAACAAAGATTTTATTAAATTTTTGCTTTCTCAAAACGTTTGTTTACAGCTCAACTTTTGTTTATTTACATGTATAAAACATATGACTCATATTTCAAGTTTTCCTTGTGGAAAGTTTATTTTAAAGGGTTGCATTCGATATTTTTCGCCTTAAATAAGCTCATTAATTGATAATGAGCTTATTTATATAAAAGTTCATTGTATGGTAAATTACTTTCATTAGTGGTTATAAAGAGCAAAACCGCCTAAATGAAACAGTGTGAACGTGCTATAAAACAGATTTAATAATTGGTGTGTTCGACCGCTTCGAAGTGTGCCAAAAGTAACAAGTCGCTTATAGTATGTTTCCACAGCTTACTTAGTAAGCGTTACTTACAAAGTAAATTTTGTTAACCATTCAAAGAACTTCCGTGCTTTTAAACTTGATTATAAATGAAGTAAAGAAAAGCGAAATTACTAAAATTTGATATTTTATTTTATAAATTACAACAGCTGAGCTGCAGACAAACATATTGAGAAAGCACGCATTTAATAAAATGCTTAAATTAATTAAATATGTATAATGGATATATAAATTATATAAATATAAATGATTTAATAAATCAATTATAGAATATTTGTGTGATGTGTTTTAAGGTCTACTTTATTTAAACAAACAAAAGCTCTCTTAAAACTTTTAAACAACTTTCTGACACATAAAAGCTCTTTCATATGCTCATGTCAATGGAAACGACAAAATCTCGGTTACTTAAGAAACTTACTAAATAAGCATTGGAAACATGGTAATACTAAAGTCTCTCACTAATATATTCGTATCACTGTTGCAAATCGGTCAAATATTATGTTTTCGCAAAGAACAAATTTTACATATGTGCATATAATGCAAACAAACTACATTTTTGTACCATGAAAAGCAATGGATACTTTAACATGGATAATTGTAACAAACTTCGAGTCAAATAAGTTTTTCGCAACAACTTTAACACAATAAAAAATGTGTTTACTTATTTAGTGTATATATATATATATAAGTTTATGTAAATTTTTTAGATTGGTGATCCATTAACTGTATTGAAATCATTCGCTCAACTGCATTTTTAATATACCATATTCAGCTATCATTGCCGCTTAAGCATGATATAGACCAAAGAAGATTTTATTAATCTTTCCTATAACACAATTGTACAATTTTTAAATATACAAAAATTGCTTGTAGATTTAATACCCAATTCCACAATCTTCGTGTTTCCTTCATATTTAAAAATTCCAACAAAATAACCCGTTTTTGTATAAGAATACATAACTTTAACATAAGCAGAATTTTTATTTCTCTGCCGAACTTGAATTTGAGCTTATAATTAAAGTAATAATTTCCTCTTTAGAAAAATTATTAATAAAACACAATTTCACTCGTTTATTATCACTAATTGCTGTTGAAACTTGTATAAAACGCACGAAAGAAAACACAACAACAGATACGTAAAAATTAATCTCCAATGCTTAATGTAAACGGTGGAGTTTAAAAATGCAGATTAATTTAATCTCGTTCTCTTAAGCAGGATATAGACGATGCTACATGTTTGCAGACAAGGTATGCATGCTACCAAATCGCACCGTCTATATTCAAGGTTGCACACCAAATCTTGGTCTGAGACATGTAACACATGTCTGCTTGTGTATTTCGGAATCTGCAGACTTTTCATAATTTAAGAATTTTGGTGAGCGTCGGACGAGCAAAGATTGCAGAAAAAATTGTAAAATAATTGAAAAAGTTGTAGACATTTATTTTCTTTAAAAGAAGCAAATTTGAAAAAAAGTGCTACAATTATTAAAGAAGTTTATGTATTTTAAAAATTATTTTGTTCTAAAAACATTTTTGAAGTAAGTTTATATATTTTAAAAATTATGTTGTGAATAAAAATTTTAAAATGCAATACTTTAAAGAATTAAATTAAAAATAATTTTAGTTTTAAGAATAGAAATAAGAAATTATGTTTAATTCTAGGAAATATGAAATCTTTATATAATGAAATAAATAACATGTTGCTATTATCATCATCTCAATTCCTTTAGTTTCGATTACTATTTTGCACTCTGTACTTGCTCTGCTGTTCTGAACGCTGTAGAAAATAAATCAAAATGAAGTATGCATACCTTGTTTCAAAGTGTATAGCAAAGTGTATACTTGAACTTCATACTTGGTGTGCAGATATGTAGCATCGTCTATATCATGCTTTAATCTCACAATGTAAACGTAGTATAAGCACGTTTCTGTAAAAATATCCGTCATATTCACTTGTGTGTGTAATGCCCGCTTAAAATATTGACGTTGCTGAAATGTCAAAAAACGCGCTTGTTATATGTTTATTGTAAACACGAAGGTTTTTGTTATTATTAAATTATAATTTTGCTGTGTTTTAAACAATTCACAAATCATTGAAACGATAAAAAAATAATTAAAACAATTCAGCAGATGTTAAATTTATAAAATGCAAAAGATTTGCCAAATGAAAAGCTGAGTAAAAAGAAGATAACTTGTTTGTTAAAAAGGAGGTGTTTTATTTTAGATAACAAATGTTTTCAAAAAAGTATGCTGTGAAACGTAAAAATAATGAATACCATGATCCAGATTATGCAAATGATGATCAACCTGGGTCACCTAGACGCCAACGGTCAGACGACGAAGAACCGTCGATTTGTTCCAAACCAAACGTCATTCATGATGAATCTGTTGAAAAAACAGAGCGTTTGAAAGAGATTATTGCAAAACAACTCGATAAAGAAATTGAACTTAAAAAATGTAACTTAGAACAGATCAAAAAACGATTGGAGCAGTCGTGGCAACAATTTGATCATTTGCGTCGGTTAATTGTTGAGGATTTCTATAAAAAGCAAGAAATTCCCCTTAACCAGTCTGAAACAGAAATAATAAAGGATGCTACGAATTTGTTTGATGTTAAAACTGAAGTTCCTCAGTTCCCTTTACATCCGTCTCTTAAAAAAATCATTGGCAAAAAACCAAAGAATATGGATGAAATATTTTGTACGCAACCTAGAAGAGCTGCAGCGAATATAGCTACAGTAACAATGCGTTCGGAATCACGTGAGCAAAAACGTAACGATCGGAATATACAGAAAATGATACGGCAAAAAGGTATTGTCATCGATCATTCAAAGCAAAACGATGAAAATACAATTCAAATAAATACTCCAGTTTTGAATAAGCAAAATAATCTAATTATTAATAACAACGAAGCAGTTAACTCACAATCAGAATCTGTAACTGATGGTACTCAATCATCTGAAGCTATGCAATCTTTAAATCGTAATAATCTTAATAATAAAAAAAGTCTCTTAATCGTCGTGGGTAATACATCCCAATATGTTGGTCACGAAAATGATAATAAAAACGTAAATATTTCTCTACAAATAACACACAAATGGATTTTGTATTTACTACCAAAGGACAAGGAAATTCGTTTAGATAAATTCATAAAGAGAGTTAGTATAATAAAACTATACATACAATTTTTTTAATAAAATATATGATTTTAGGTGAGATTCATTTTACATCCATCATATGCGCCAAACCAGGTAGTGGACATAACTAGTGCTCCGTTTCAAATATGTCGTCGTGGCTGGGGTGAATTTCCCGTTCGAATTCAAATATTTTTCCATGATTATTTTCAACAAAACCCACTGCAGTTTGTACACAAACTTATTTTAGATAAAACTTTTAGTGGTATGCATGTGATGGGATCAGAAACTGTTGTCCAAATTTGGCTACGTTCTAATGAACAAGAAAATGATACGGTCACATCATTAGAAAAGCACCCAGAGAAACAAATACAATCACAGAAAACTAATTCGATACATTTAGAAGATTATGAAAAAAATACCACAGCTGAGAGGAAACAAGAGAACAGTAAAAACGTTACAACTCTTAAAAGTGATAAAGATCTTGATGAAAACTTATTGGAATTTCTAAATAAAATTAACGGCATACCATCACCAAGTTTCGCTGATATAAATGAGATCGAACCAACAATATTAGTGACAGAACCTTTAAAATGTACACTTATAAGTCCGAAAAAATGCGAAAATAATATAGTACAAAGTGAAAATGTAATAACAAACAATTCCATAACAAGAATAGTACCACCAACGTCAACATCATTATCTACAATTTCAAATTCCCACTCGCAAACAAATTGTGAAACGATAAAAACTTTAAGTAATTTCACAAACAACCTCTCACCTCCACCTCTGGTTAGCACTACATTTTCAAACCTGGATAACACTGTAAAAGAAGAAACTACGAAAAAAGCTCAATTTCAAGTTAATAATAAAGATTCTAAATTAAATGCAGCAACAATTTCTGCAATTGAAACCAAAGTCAACATAAATTCTTCGATAAAAAATGAATTAAAATTAATACCAACAACTTTAGCTACAGCACCAAAAGTTATAAGCTCGTCAGCAATAAGTAAATTAAGTTCTAACAAGCAGAATTCTAATTTAAGCAACAACAATAATATGAATAGTAATACTACCAACACTTTGAACATAAACACATCTAAAACTTTAACCAATTCTAATAATAAAACCAATTCACTTACTGTAGACAAGAGTATACTTCAACGGAAATTAGTTAAATTCGTGGATACCAGCGGAAATGTTAAATACATGCCAATGTATGTAACGACAGCAAACATAAATACTCGTCCAATAATAGCATCAAATAAAATTATTTCCTCTAAAGAAAAAAACTTCAGTGCAACCATTGGTAAGAATTTTAAAATAATTTATTAACTTTCACTTTTTTGAAAAAAAAATTAATACTGGAATTGTTTATGAAGATCCTCGAAGACATCCCCTTTTTAGTTTCGCAGTCTTGAATGAAGCATTGTTTCTGCATATATTTCTACCTAATAAGTACCAGTTCATTTATTGAGTTTAAACAGTATTGTTTTTGGCGTCCAATAATCTAATAGATTTAAATATTTCTTAACCTTTCTTATCTTAATCTTCATACTTTCAACGTACTGTATAACATTTATGTTTCTTAGGGTTTAAACGATACAGTCAACTGTACATGACACGGCCAAACAGCTTTTTCAAAAATCATTTTCAGATAATGGTTTATATATATATATATATATTTTGTTTTTATCCGGCTATAGGTCAACTATTGTAAATGTGAATTACAATAGTTTAGTTTTGATTAGGATTTCGATAAAATTTTTATAATATTGTTTCGTATAAAATTTTACATTATTTAAGTGTCCTCCACAAGACAAATTACAATGCTAGATCCTTTTAAGATAATTTCCGATGATGCGTAACGCTGACAGTAGCTTGGCCGTAACTTGAGTGATATTAGTTAAAATATTTTAAGGTGTCAACAGTTGGTCGATTGTCCACCTATTCATGCGTGATATATCGCATGTTCTATCACACCACCACATTAAAAGCCATCTCATACAGTGACTTTTTGTTAATGTTATGTTCTTTCGACACTTATATGTGGATTTTCACTGCCCTAAATGCAATGATTTTATTAGTCACTTAATAAAATTTAATGAAAAACATCGCCCATATTTTTGGAGCGAGTTTTCACAATTTTATCAAGATCAGCGGTTGTTGGACGATCTATATTTGAAAATGGCAAACATTAAACTATGCATATGACGCCTTAGAAGACAGTTTTGTTTAACATGCGTCGTTGATGCCGTCACATCAAATCCAAAAATAGATAACCCTTTATGATAAAAAAATATTAATATTGTATTTCACAGATTTTGTCCATAAATTTTAATATAAAAATTCATTTCTATCAAAATAGTAAATCTTGATTGAATATCTGAAATAGAGCTTAAACAGATTTCTGTGTATTGATCTCCATTAAGGAACGAACCTAAATCTTTCGGTATTAGTATTTTATGATGATACCGTACCATCTAACTTTTCAATGCTTAATATTTTAAGCTTAGTTAAATAACAATCGTTTAAAAAAATGTATATGTTTGTGAACATCAAATTACCTTTTATTTAAAAAAGTTTTGTTTAATTAAATTTTACTCTTTTGCGAGTAATACATCTAGAAATACTTTGCAATGAAAAACTATCAATAACGTTTCCCCCAACCGCAAGACTATCATTGCAGTGCAAAAATATTTACTCCATAAGATTTCATATTTTATTTAAAAAAACCCATATTACTTATAAATTTGGGTGTGATAACTTCGCTTCTAGCTCAGAATTTACTTAAAATTAAAATTACTTATTTGTAGTTAGCTAGGACAGGGTTGTCCAAAGCATGACCCACAGACTTTTTTCTGGAGTTTTGTTAATTTACTGTGAAAGTTTATTAATACTCGAAACAGCTGTATGGTCAGCCAAAAATTCAATTAATTAAAATAATATCAATATAATTTGTGTGGTAGTTCACTACTGTTCGAAACATTCCTATTAAATACCACAGCTTATATATAGCAGTTTATATATATACGATATAACAATTTCAATTTAATTAATACTTAATAAATAAACTTAAAGAAATATTTTTCATTTTTTTTGTTTTTAGATAAGGCTGTTTCTACTGTAAATGACATTCCATCTTCAAATGCTAATATAACCAATGAAAAAGCAAAAACTGCATTAAATAAAATTGTGCCCATTGCTACAACGAAATTAATTCCAATAACGTTAACATCGAGAGTCGATGCGATGAAAAATGACGCAGGAAAGGCTGTTCCAGGAAAAGCTGCTCAAATGAATTTACCAACTAAAAATGTTTTTCAAATAGATGGAAAGGTATATATAATAGATCCCCTGCATTCAAAAATAAAACAACAGAAGAATAAACAAGAATCTCTTCTGAAGCCACAAGTTAGTTTACTTAAATCACAGGAACAAAAACAACAACAAAGCTTTATACAAACAAAATCCCATAACTTCCATTATAATACCGTAGTTAATGATCATGATTATATCCCATCACCTTTACCTAATAAAATAATAAATAATTCAACAAATAAGCAACACCAACCTGAGCTATCTAAAGATTTCAATCAATCTTATAAGCCCAAAGAAATTGTAATGAATAAACTTGAATTTACACAGCATCCTCTCCATTTAAGTATACGTGAAGCACGTGTTAAGACAGCTATAACGTTGTATCATCAGGAGCAGGACCGCATACGATTCGAGCAACAATTTAAATGCTATGATTTTCCGACAATTCGAAGTGCAGTCGAATTTTTATTACGACGAGTGCCACTAGTTATGTCAAAAAAACTGACGCATAATTCTATGCTTTCCAGCTTAGGATTTGTTAAGAAATCAGCGAGAGAATTTCAACTATTGCCTGCATTCAAACAGAGGTCTTCTGAATGGTTAAGAGCGAAATATATCGAACATTGTTTATGTAGTCACAAAAAACTACAAGAGTTAAATGTGAGTGGACGAGATCTATTTTGGACAACACGCGAAATATTAGTATTTGCCCGTTTCTATATGTATACACCCATAATAAAGTCATTGGAAACTACTAAAGAAACAGAAACGAAACAAACTTCTACGTTAGAAGATCAAAATAAGTTAATTTTGGATAAAAATGTAGACCCCGACATTGTAACATCAAAAAGTCACATAATGAAATGGTTAGATTCAGTATGGCCTAAAGTGCAAGCGCATGAAGTGCAGGAATGCGATTCTCAAATTATTGATGTACAAGATATAGATGTTGAAAATATAAGTACACTCCCGCATCACACTAAAAGTAAAGGAAGCATTGAATCGCTAACAAATGAACCCAAACAAAACCAACTGGATATGGTTTGGTTACAAGCTCCAACAGAATTAGCAAATGAAATCGAAGTATTGAAACACATTTTTATGCAGAGAAATCTAAAAGATTTACAACCAGAAGAAATAGATACCGGAGTAATGACCTCAATGGCACAAATTGTGCTGGCAAAAGCTTTGAATATTTTTATGGAAAAGATATTACGTGAGGTGGTTTCTAAAAAATTACAACATCACATGAACGATGAGAAACAAAAAACAGTCGAACCAAAATTGAATAAAAGCATACACCAATCACAGTACACCAGCAACACCATTGTAACGAACAATCAATTGAAAAATATGCTTATTACTCCTATTGATATTAGCAATGTGATAATCAAAACAGATGAATTTGATTTTTTGTCTAACAAATATTTCGGCAGTAATTTGCAATAAACTTAATAGTTTTGCAGCAAATGTGAGATTCGATTGATTAAATGCTTCTAAGGCAATTCAGACTATTGTTATTAAGAATATATTAAGTTGGTCGATCTGTACATAACGCAAGCACGACGATATTGCACATCAGGAAGACTATATATTTTTAAATAGCAAGATAATATCAATTCATTTAACAGTCCATCATTCTATTTGATCGTACATAACAGTGTTGCAGGCAATGCGTGTGCTATTTACAAAAAAATTTGGGGTACTCATCTAAACTTATAAACATGCCTTATAAACCTTATAAACGTGAAACCTTATAAACCTTATAAACGTTATAAAATTACACGAAAAGTTTACCGAATAAATTTATATCGTATAAATTTATTTATTGTCAATACAGAGTTCTATTCCAACACAAACAATAAATTTTCAAAAATATCTTTGTAAATACTTTTTAATTTGGACTTTTTCCTCAATTTCGATGTTTTATTTTATAATTTGTTGATTGCGACACAGCTGATCAATAAAGTTTGCACATATATTTAAAATTTCAACTATATTGGCTAAAAAATTGCGTTGCTGAGCATTGCATTTTGTGCTGTCATAATTATTGCTGATATAAATAGTCCTATTATACAGCAGATTGATAAATTTACACAAATATTTCTCTAAGTGCGTTCACATAACCGTCTACGTAAACGCATAAAATTATACATTTGATAAATTTATATGCTTAGATGAGTACCCCTATACAGTAGAAACTACATGAACAGATGAAAAAATTGAAAGCGTGCGTTTTTTCGCTCTTTTTTCGCTCTTTTTTTTAATTCGCTCTATTTATTTCGTCAATTATTTAAAACAGAACAGTAAAAATAGCATTTTGCATAGAAGCATTGCATGTTTTAGTGAAAGTGTAACAATTTTTTAATTCCATTGCGCGCTTATTGTATTTTACACTCTTAGAATAGGTTTTAATTTTTCTTTTTTTTTTTTTGCATTTATGTGTATTTTGATATTATAAATCGCGTGCGCGCATTATTTTATAAAGTGCTGTTATAAAGCTGCTATCTGTTTAGTACTTCAGTAATAAGCAAATTTTAAATTAAATAAGCAATATTTTCAATACATCTGTAAATATATATACCTGTAAATAAATATAAAGTTGCTGATATTTTTTTTCTTAATTCGATATTTATTTATTTTACTGATTACAAAATTTTTTAAATTAAAATTAATATTAATCCGTACTGAATATTTGTAATATTTGCTAATTAAGTTATATGTTTATACATAATGATAAGTAATGTATTGCAATAAATTTATCGTAGCATTAGTTAAATGAATTTAAAGTTTTCGATTGTATTATAAAAAAAAAAATATTTTGAAAAAATTGAATTTTAGTTTTAAATATAATGTAATTGCAACGTTAACTATTTTTAACGAAATTAATAAAACATATGCCACATAAATGAAATAATGTAAGCAATTCTCAGGAATTACACACAGTTTTAAATCTTATTAACTAGTTTTAAGCAAAAGAAAATGTTATCACTAAATTACTATAAAGGATTGAGAATATTTAATGTAATACTTTTATACATTTTTTATAAATTATTAAAGCAGGACGCAGACAATGATAAAATAAATAATAAAATAAATGATAAATGATAAAATGTTGTTTTTTTGTATTGTTTTATTTTTTTTTTTTAATTTTGTTTTATTTTTTTTTTTTTTAATTTTTTTTTATTTTTTTTTTTTTAATTTTTTTTGTATTGTTTTATTTTTTTTTTTTAAATTTTGTTTTATTTTATTTATTTATTTTTTTTTTTAAAGTTCTTTATACAATTTTAGATTTGTAATTCATAAAATGATAATTTATTGCTTAAAGTTTTTGCAGATTCGGTTTTAGAACATTTTGAATCAGATTTATTATTTTATAGAAAAATCATCCTCAGAACTGAATCGTAAATAAGCAAAATTGTAGAAAAAGGGTCCAATGTTCGTGTTATCTCGAACATTGAAGTGTGAAGTGTACCTCTAGATCATGATATATAACTCCATTTTACTTTTTTCTTCAGTATTATGTTAAGTCATGACTTTACTTTAATAAACCAAAAACAAATTAATGATCTCACAATACAATCGTGTTACTGATGAATCAAGCTTAAAACAAAATTATTTCTATATTTTGAACATAATTTTATATATAAATATATAACTCTTATTCGATCGGAATTTATTTAATTTCTTGATGATAATTTCTTGAAGTTATTTAATTAGTATTATAAATAATAGATATTGAATTCTTTCAAGAACTATGTCCCCTCTTATATCTAAGGGTAGTGATTTGTATATTAATAAAACTCGACATATCTTTATGATGATATTGTTTTTATATATTAAAAGTTTTATTATACAAAGAAGTATTTTTATAATTGTATTCATGGTAACACCCGGAAATAGGTGTAAACATAGACGTACACACATTATTTACAGTTACAGTAGTAAACATTGCTCTGAAAATTTTTGTTTTGGCAAAATTTATTAAATTCTGTGTTCAATATTATCGAAGACATTTTCGTAGCCCATAAATTCCTGCAATTATTTGCATTTTTATTTGCATGCAACAAAGGCAAATTTCTGATATGTACCGACAGTAAATTTACAATTGAAGCTGTAAAAAATATCAATTATAACACCGAATAAATTTTGTGGTATCAAAAACAACTGCATACGTTTTTCAAACAAAATTAAAATCATGTGGATTCCGGGGCACGCAGATTTATAAACAAACATATGGAAGACGAATGGGCTATGGAATGGTCAATGTACAACCATCGCTACAAATCGATCAATACCAGTGGTTTAAAAGCTATATATCCACTATTATGCACTCGTCAACAATGTTAGATTTTTATTCGATTGCGAATGGGACTTTCAAAGCTTTTTCATGAATATCTTTTGAGTGGTGATCAGACATTAAACTGTCCATTCTGTAATAGTACACCAGCCATAGATCATATACTTAACGATTGCCCTTCTTAGGATTCTATTCGTAGTAATATCTTTCCTAATATCTTACCTACAAGCCTGTTAAAAACAATTACTGTTGAGAATATACTTTTAATGTATAAATACATTAAAGCCTGTAAACTAGTAAATAAATTTTAATTTATAATATCCGAGCTGACGACCCTGACAGCTAGCGCTCGTTTTTTTCTTATCTAAGTTATAAGATTTTATATTTTGTAATTAATTATAATAAATAAATAAATAAATAATATTTGCATTTTATATGTGTATGATTGATATTCCAGAACCATCATTTTTAAATCAGCACCTGCTATATGCATGGACAGACGGATGTGTTAGTCAAAAAACAACGAATTATATAATAGATATATAATTCATAAACTGGGCATATCTTTGTTTAGAAAATAATAAATTAAATTTATAGTTCATAACACATGTTCGAGTGACTATAGGGAGGTTAGGTGCTGAGGTCTTTTAAGCTCTAATTATGTAAATAGAAATCTTAATATGTATATGTAAATTTAACGTGTTGAACCATTTTTATAATATACCATTTTCATTTTTTTTTTAATATATTTTTATAAACATTCTGTTGATATTAAGCAAATGAGTTCAGTTATTATAGTTTTTTTTTATATTATATAGCTGCATCAATTGGTAATGCACTATACTAATATCGCACCACAATGATACCTATTATAGGTATTATCTTCTGTAAGGCAGATCCAGTACATTATGTCTTTCAACTCTTTTAGTGATTTTGGAAAAATAATATTGCCTGTAAGCATAAAACTATCGCATACATATCTTTTACTTAATATATGAGATTTATATATCGATGTGTATTGATTCGTTAGAGATAAACCAGAAAGGATTAAAATATTTTTTTAGTACTGTTGAATGAAATCACATCAAAATTTCTATGTTGCTAATAGTCCCCAATAACAAGGAAACTATATATCGTCATACATCCAGGGGGACTTAAAAATGCCTTTATTATTATATGTTCAAGACACAAACAAAGAATTTTATTGTGTTTTACAGCATTCTTTAGGCGGGCTTTACTGTATCCATTTTTCAAGCTAACGTTCTAGTTGATGTATCTGTTCCTTCACGCCTATAGAAGCTTCTACAAAGGATTTACCTAATGTAATCAAAGTTGTATAACCACCAAATTACTATATTTGCCCACAAGAGCTCCATCAAATGGTAGTATGTAAAGTTTTACACCTTGTTTAAAAACTTAAAACATTGACTAAACGATGGAATCATTAAGTCAATATTATTATAATAAATAGAGGCTAAACATGTGCTTTAAACTTTCCAGTAATCCTACTTTAAACCAAATTTATTTTTGCTTGGTAATACAATGTCCATGTAATGTAAAACTATGGATCTCGTCTAATATGCAATATTCTGCGATTTGTATCAGAAGTACTAAGCAAAACAAATCACTGAAAGAAAGTTAAATTTCTTTAGTTTAGTTCAAAACGTTTATTAATTAGAGGATATAAAATCCTTATTATAAATTTATTCTGTTATATATATATCCCATATGTTATTTTGTACCCAACTTCAGATTTATTTTTTCATTATTGTATTTTATTTTTATTGCAATTTATAGAAATTGTAGTCAGAGAACAAAACTTATCCATCCGCGATAAATAAATTGCTTAAGTGGTGCTGTCAAACACAATGACTTTGCACTTTGTGAACTATTACTTACTTACTTACTTAGTTGGCCATTAGAGACATGAGTCATCCAGCTAGCCCGATTAATTGCTTGTTGTCGCCAGTTTGTAGTACCGAGCGCCCCCAAATCATTAGTCACCTAGTTCTTCCACCGAATATGTGGACGTCCTCTATCGTGTTTTTCATCTCGGGTACCGATTTGCACGAAATGACTAAGCCAGCGAAGCCGCTGAATTTTTATGTGCTTAATTATGTCAATGTCGAACTTTGTAAACTATTGTACAACAAAATTAAAAGCATTAAATTTAAAGTTATAATCCGAAAGTACCACATTCATATGCATCTTCAGTTGGGATTATCCGCGATATAGATAATGTTGTATAGAATAAAATAAAGGTAAGATTCTTGGAGACATCATGCAACAGTAATCATAATCGTATTATTTAAAGAAGTTCTACCACTACAAACAAGTAAAGTTCTCATATTGAACTAATTTTGAATTAATTTGATTAGATACTGAGGCAAATTAAGATAAACTCAAAAATTAGTCTATTATATCATATTGGATCGTATGCGACTGTTATATTTAACTCAAGGTAGATATGTAGGTTGGACTGGTAGCTTTGTTTCCAAAAAAGCCCACTTGAGCTCAAATAATGGCCCTTTGTAGTACCACAGGAGCAGCATTTGTACGTACATAGATTTAAATCCGTATACACTCAACGCCGAAAAGGGTAACGTCTTCCCTATTAGGTAAAGAAAAATCAATCGGACAGTTCTACAAACTTGGCCAGGTCCTAATATTACAGGATGACAGCTCAGCTAGATCGGTGAGAAATAGAAATCCGAAGATTTTTGATCTTTTTCTAGCTAAAGAAGGGCACTGACACCTCGGTCTCCTCCTCGTCCTCAGAGCTACAACCTCGACAAAAGTTGTTGTAGGGTAGACCCAATCTCATAGCATACTTTTCTATTTCGCAGTGGCCCGTCAGCACACAGATATCGTGGTTCTTAGCATATTTAACACAATACTGCTATTGAATTTATTGTTTCTAAAAGTTTGTCTTATACAAATTATACTCGTATTGTATTAGTTTTTAAACCCAACTAATTGTTATTAGGGGGGCTGTTGTGGAAAATGATACAATAAAAATACTACTGGTCTTTGGGAGTTTTTGGCTGTAAACTAGTGTTAAATATTTTCTGCAATTTCTAGATAACGCTGAATAAAATAAAAGAGTTCTTTAATTAAAAATAATTGGTTCGCGTTTATTATTAACAATATATAGTTTTAATTTAATAACATACATTTTTAATATTAAAATTATTTCTAGTATAATTACTTTGTTTACATTTTACTAAATGCTAATTTAGAACATTTTTAGTAATATGAAGTAAATTTTAATAATTTATTTTACAAAACAGCAAAAATTGTTACTGAACTGCTTTGCAAGTGCTTTACACTTACTTAATACTTAAATGTGTGTTTAAATTCAAAAAAATATTTTATTTATAAAAAACTAAATTCCTACTACGGTACAAAAATAAAAATAATCTCTAGGTTTAATATTAACGTTTAATTTTTTTTTTTTTTTTTGAGATAAAATTTAAATAAATGATACATCATTTTTATAAAAATTTAAATTCAAGTTGTGTAGAAATGTAAATGAACTATAAGGTAAGTAATACTAAGTCTAATAATTTTTAGTTGTTTTTAGTTGTCAATTAAAAAACAGTTTTAAATGTTTTTCATATTCTTTCGTTTCTCTTTTGCTTTCGTATAAATTAATAAATTTTATTTAACAATTCTTACTACTTGCCTTTAGGAATATATAAATTTTATATATATATGCTTTTTTATATAAAGTTTTAATAATTCTGTCAGGATATTTTTTTTATTTTAGTAACGTTTTAACTTTCCTTTATCTTTTAAAATAATTTGCAAGAGTGTACAATCACAGCCTTTTATGAATTTATTCATTCATTTGTGTAAATAAACAGTTTCTAATGCTTTTAGTTAAATATTTAATATCTTAAAATTACGCATATGAGCCAACATGTTATATAAAAATAGTTTAAACAATATTTATAAAATAAAATTTTTGACACAATTTCAATAATTCTTGTGTTATCCGTGTGGTATAAAAAATGTTTCTTTTAAGTATTTAAGTAAAAAAGAAATAAAGTTAAATGTATAAAAAAATTAGAGAACTAATATATTATGATGTGCAGCAAGTGTGAACTTTTTAAAAAAAATTTATAGACATCAAAATATTTTAGAAATTGTTTACTATAAAACAAATATATTGAATAAGTTGAAAAGTTAAATTTTTCTTTTGCAATGCAAATACAAAAAAAAAAAATAAATAAGACATTACTAAAATAATTTCGCTTTATTGATGTGCTCAAAAAATAATTTTTGCTTGAATTTCTAATTTTTTTAAACCTATTACTAAATATACTGAATATGCTTAAAAGTATTTTTGCCAATATATGTATAATTTAAACTAAACATAAAAAATTTACTAATTTACAAATTCTTAATACAATTGTCATAAGGCGCTCGATAATATATTAAAAACACAATAAATAACCTATTTAGTTGCTTTAATGAATTAACATAATTAATTAATTCTTATAAACTTAATTAACATTTTAAAATATAATATATACATATTACAAAAATTAAAATACGCTAACTCTATACTAATATATGTATTCTACTTAATACACAAACTGCATCTAAAACGCAAATGTAGCGCATGTGAAACGCATTTGAAGCGCGTGTGAAACGCATGCAAATAATGCGCAACTAAAAATCAAATATTTTAAATAAATTATATATGAAAAATATAATACAGTTTTTAATAATTTAATATTCTTGTGTAACAAAAATTCTTGTTGTCGTGAACGTAGAGATGTTTGCAATTGTTTCTGTATTAAGTGATTGGTTAAAGTTTTTGATAATTGGTTAAAGTCTTCTAAAGCCAATCATTCAACCTGTCGACGTTAGTAATCAAGTAATCGAGGTTATAATTTGATTCTTAGACCCATAATCGGCGACTCTAAAAAGAAAAAAAATTATTTTTTGATCATTTTATATTTATTATTTTTTTTATAAGCTATAGTCTGCTTATAACAAACATTGATTTTGTTTTTTTTTACATTTTTTTTACATATATTAAACAAAGTATAAATAGAAAATTACAAGTAAGAAATGAAGAAAATAAATAAAAATATTTGTACAAAGTTTGCATATTACTTAAATCAAATAATAGTATAGTAGATTATGTAGTAGCGAAAAACTAAGTCCACAATCAATTTTGAAGACTTACTTATTCACAGACCTTATATTCATATAAGACAAATGGTGTCTTGATGACTTTTGCTTATAATACTGTATAGAATTGTATTTTGCTATAAATTTTCGTTAAAATGAAAGTTACTTCTGTCGAACAAATTGACCGGTGCTAATATACGTATTATGCATTATTATTTATATATATCGGTCAAATAAAACAATTTCTTATCCTGACGCGTGGAATATTAAATAAGTGATTTTCACTAAACAGGATAGACTTAAAGATATAATTTGATTAATTTATTATTTATTTATTAGTAACATAAGTACGTTAAGAAGACAATTTCTCATTTCGGAAATATCAATATACTTTATATAACTAAAAATAGTTGGGTCATTCCCACACTGATAACTATTGATATTTTTTTTTTGTTTTTGTAGATGAGAAGATGGACATTGCATAAAGCAGCAATGTCAAAACAAATTTTGATGTCTAAAAATTGTTCAAAAAATTTTAGAATTAATTTAAAATATTTAAACATATAATTTAAAACATATATAATATAAAATATATTAAAATATATATATATCGAATTAATAATATATACATCGAATTAATAATATTATAAAAAAATTGATTTAATAAAAAAAATTAGGATTGAAATAAAGAATGAATTAATTAATAATAAAAACTGCAACAGCAAAAATAAATAATAACACACAACTTAAAAATCAACTTGTAAAAATCAAAATATTAAATAAAATACCAAAAATTCATATTAATTATTAATGTTTAAGTATAATTTTAATTTCGCTTAAAGTGCATTAAGGAATAATAATCACAAAATTTATAAATTGTTTTTAAATTTATGTTGACTTTAGTTGTGTGTTGTTTTACCTATAAATTGATGATGCAGATGTAGACCTTGACCAAGTAACTAATAAACCCTCACCTCTACTGCGCTGGACTTTAGTTTGCAATAAAACTTTAGTGCATTCATCTGGACGTATAGAAGTTTTTAGAGTTGAAAAAAGTAAACTGTAAAAAAATACAAAAAATACAAAAGTATTTATTTATTATAATATAAAAAAAAATTAATATTGCTTCAGAATTATACAGTAGAAAATTTCTTTACATAAAGAAATAATTTTAAAATATTTAAAAATATTTGTATATGCAAATTTTAAAAACTTACCGTGGAAATATGGCAACTACTGTGGATAAAATTATAACTAGCCAATGTACTGCAGAGGCAAAACAATGAAATATCACCCAATAACTAGAAGGCAGTCCGAAGCAATTAACGCAGATAGAATTATATACTATAGAGAAGGCATAAAATGAAACAAAACTGATAATAATAGAGAGCACATGAAGAATAGTCTGGAAAGAGGCACACATGTTAAATTTTTATAAAACAATAATAAATATTTAACTTACCCAAGAACGTATCTCAAATGCACCATGTAACAAATTCGCCATAAGACAAGAAGCAGTTATAGTGGTACCAAATTCCCAAATACCGACATCCGATTCGGCATATGAACACAAAGCAACAAAAAATATTACCAAACTTTGATATAATGAGTCCAATAAAATTAACCAAAAGTCATGCGGCTTATAAGCAAGTCCTAGACGACCCTTTTATATAAAATTATACAAAAATATTATAAATAAATATACTTTTATATATTACATTTTTTGATTAAAAAAAGCTAGGAAGTTATGCTACATTATAAGTGCAATAAAACAAAAAAAAATAATAGATATAAAACTAATAAAAACATAATTATCGAATATTAATTTTATTTACATTTTTATAAAGATGAGGGTATTTTAGAAGCAAATCCTCAGGCACACGCTTATCGTAAACGCCAATTGCAAGTGGCGGTAAGGAAGTAAATATCAGATTATACAACATTAAATACATTTGATCCATCATTACAGAACCTGAGAAACCACAGTAAAGCTGGTACCAAAATATTAGAAAAACAAATGCCTAAATAAAAAAAAAAAAAAAAATATAATTTTAAATAAATACTTTTAAAGTAAGAACTTTTAAATAATCTTACCGCATTTTTATAAAAAAAGTAAAGTATCATACGCGATAATCGGTCATAGCACCAAAAACCATGTGTTAACAACAACCGTTCTAAGTAACGGAAGCGGGCTACTGTAAAATCAGCAGCCATAACGGCTTGGGTACCTTCTTGACCTGAAATACCTACGCCAACATCTGCCATCTGAAAAAGAAAAAGTTATTTAAAAACTGTTTAAGTAAATTAATTGTAATTTTGAAAAAACTTATGAACCTGTCAAATTTGCACGCAAATGACTTTCTAATATATGTAATATTAATTTTAATTATTTATATATTTTTTGTTGCATATTAACAATCTTTGAAAACTAAAATATTGATTGTTATTAAATTGTAGATCATCGTTCATAAACGTGCTTCGATAGAACTATTTGGAAGTACATTAATTTCAAATAATTAATTTCATCAAACTAAAAAATTTAATTCTCAAGAATTAAACACAAACACCGCCTTTAACAGAGGTCCAAAACTATTAACATTCAAATAGATTCATGGTTATCCATAGGAATAGGAATAAACAGGGTTCCAGCTTTCAACGGAGCAGAACACTGCGATCATGGTTGATCTTTTGTGCTGCTCTATGGTTATCCATTGTGATTTCGAAAATAGAACGTAAATAAAATTCACTTGTGCTTGCGATTTAGATAGTATATCAGTTTTAATGCATTACCGTTATAGCTGTGTAATATACCATAATTTAAATATACTTAATGTCTTACAGTAACGGATATTTGAGAGTTACTTTTCGATGGCTTTTCAGAAAATAGTTTTTGGCAAGTTAAGAACAATCGGCACAAAGACGATCATTTTAAAAATAGTATGATAGAATTGAGTAAGAAAATTAAATACTATGAGCTAAGCTGGACGAATCTTGCCATCTCAACAGATCACATACATATATCAATAGGAGTCGAGCTGATGTGTTTGCTAGGGTTTTGTATATGATTCGTAAAAACAACCACACTGCTGTAAGGTGCAGAGACTTGGACAAAAACCAATAGTGATGAAAACACACAAAGCATTTAATAGTCACTGATTGAAAACGTGGTAGAGTAAGTCCCTTACTAATAATATGATAAGACTAGTTGAAGAAGGCTATTAGACGCGGTTACAAGAACGATATATGTCTGCAAAGGTCAACTAAATAAGTAAAGAGGTATAAAGGATTTATGTCTGAAGCATTTGTTTAAAATTTGATAAACAATACTAAGAAAATTATTAAATTTTGTATATGTGAACAGTGAATCTATATTGCACTGTGTATGTAGAGAACGGAACCAAAAACATGACGTATGGATAAAGATTTTAGCAATATCAATTAATGTTTAATAATTTTAGATCCTGATCTTAATGATGGCCAGAGTCGTGATATAGAATCTACTAAAAAATATAACTATAACTATATCTACTATAATATAACTATAACTATAACGTTTAATTTTAATTTTAAAAAAAGGTGACCTGTAGCCATATATAAAATATATAAAAAATATATATTACAAAAATATTGTTTTCAAATTAAAGTTTTTTTGGTTTTTCTTACTTGTATCATAGAAACATCATTAGCACCATCTCCAATTGCTAGTGTGCACAAATTCAATTCTTCTTTTACAATCTTAACTAGATAAGCTTTTTGTAAAGGCGTTGAGCGACAACACAATACAGAAACACAGCTTTTAGCTAATTTTAAAAATGGACGTATTAGATTGGACCTGTAAAAAATTTAAATAAAAATTAATTTACGATTAATAAATTTTTTATAAAGGAAAATTCAAATACCGCATGTCTAAAATAAAAGTTAGTGTTTTGCCATCCACTACCAATGCTTTCTGTTTAGGTCTTGGAGTCATGCCAAAGTGTGCAATTTTTTGTTCATCAAATTCTGACAAATAAAAATTGATAGCCGATTCTGCAGCATCACGTGATCGCGCTACTAATCTGAATACAATAAACAAAAGAAAGTAACATTATTTAATATTAATTGCATTAAAAGAATTATTTTAAATAATAATAAACTAATAAACACCTAATTAATTCCATTTGTTGTGTAAATAATTTAGCGGAATATGCTATATTTATTGCAGTTTCTGGTTTATCACCCGTTAGCACCCATATCGATATACCAGCTGCCATCAATGAAGCAATTGTTTCAGGTACACCATCCTGTAAACGATCTTCAATCCCAGTTGCACCTAGCAATGTCAGATTGCTTTCCAATTTGGCAAAAGAGTCTCGTAATCGACGTTCTCGATTCTCAAGAGACATCTCGATTTCTTGATGATGTGCCCACCAATCAGTGTATTCTGCGGCATTAAGATTTCTCTTCGCCATAACCAATATACGTAAACCTTCGCGAGCATAACGATCTAATTGTTGCTGTGTTTTCTCACGTAGTAAACCTTTAGAGATGGATAAATACAAAATTTAATAAATCATTTTTATTCTCTTTGTTTTTATTTTTATTTTGTTTTTGTTTTTGTTTTTTTTGTAAGCTTACTGTCAATCGAGTTTGGTTTACACTGCGTTAGAACAGGCATAATTGAACTATCAGCACCTTTTGTGTAAAGAATAATTTCTTGTGTACCAGTACGACGTATCACTATGGACATACATTTACGACTTGAGTCGAATGGCAAAATTTTTAGCACTTCATATTCTGTAACGCCAACGTTGGGCAAACTAACTAATATATGATTTGGACTCCGATTTATAAGACAACAGTCGTAGCTATAAGCTGCATTGACTAATGCTAATTCATCCGGACTTTCTGCTTCGTAAAGTGGCCGCCCATCAGCAGTACGATATGTTTGTTTTGATTGTCTAAAACAAATATTAATGAATTATTAATTTCTAAATGCAAAAATAAAGCAATATCAAATCATTAAAAATAAAAACTCACTGACTCTTGCAATTTACTTACGAAAATTTTGTTGCTAGTCTTTTTGATTGCGTTTTATTATTAAGAAACGATGTTAAACTTATAATTTTGGAGTTGATAACCGCTTTTGCTCGGCCTGTTGGAGACACACTATTCGAAATTGATTTCATTTTCAAAGGTGGTGATTCCGAAGTAGGTGTTGTTTCTGCCGAACTGCTGATAGGCGACAGAGAAGGAACATGTGTTTGCATTGGTAGTGCATATGCTGAATTAGGTGGGGGCGATGGTGTCACCGAACGTGATTCTGCTAATCTTGTGTAACGATCAGCTGGTATCGCCGATACTAATTTACTTGTAGTAGCAGCAGTAGAATTGTTTGTTGATTTTAGATTTACTTCTGCAAAGATCAAATTTTGTTGCTTATCAACACCTTCGAAAAAAGTATACATCACAAATTTAAGATATATAAACACACAAAAACAAATACCTTTTAATGTAGCTGAGCACTCTGGGACCACATTATTCGCACTTTGCACCTCAATTATGCCGCTAGCATTCATTAAATCCCTATGGGGTGCTGCACTTACTATTACCGTATTACATATTGCCAAAACTAGAAGAAATTCTTGTATGCGTTGGCTATTATTTGATAAATACTGTCCAGAATTTAAAAAGTGGGACATATCATCTAAGAGTGTTGTATTTGCTATTAAAGGTGGAGCTGGCGAACCAGGTCTTGAATACATTTTTTCCAACTCCGATGGTGGATGGTTATAATCAGTGCCATTTACAACACAGCGTCTAAAGAGCATTTTATTTTCTGTAAGTGTCCCTGTTTTATCAGAAAATATATGTTGTATTTGTCCTAGTTCTTCTGTGATATTCATTGCTCGACATTCGGTTTTTTTATTTGTATCATAGTCGAAGAGATCAACATTATTATGTATGTGATATACTTGGAGTATTTTACATAGTTCAATTGTAACATAAAGTGACAATGGTATCATAACCTGAAGTATTATAATATAAGTCCAAAAGGTCAATAAACCTTCATAATCGGGATCAACTTTAAAGGGCAAAAATGGCACAGGAAAATGTTTAAACGAACTTAACCACATTTTACTGCCAACTGCACCAACTACACATAGTACTAATAAAATTATCACACACCTATAACACAATTAGAGAGAAACAAAAATAATTATATTCAAGTTTTTAAAATGTTAGATAATTATTCACCATATCACATCAATATTCATTTGCTGCTCAACCTGAGAACGTTTATAACGGGGCCCACTATTATTTAACATTGACTTGGTTTCATGTCCTGCATAGACAACGATTCCTTCAACGTAGTCAGTATTCTAAAAATAAATAAATGTTTTTAGACAATTATAATATCACATAAACACAATAATAACTTATATACGTATATACGTATTCTGCAAACATTAAGCAAATTATTTAAAAAATGAAATTATCTTGGATTAGGGAAGAAATTAGACAAAAGAGGTCAGAGTTGTCAAAACGAAAGATGGGGAATTTTTTATTGTGACAACGTTGGGTCGCATACAGTGTCTTCACTAACACCTTGTTACCACGAAAGGCCTGGCCTACGTCATTACTTTAGAATTTTACAATAAAAAGGGCAATATTTGAGTCCAGAAAACTGTTTTTCAATTAAAAAAAATTTTTTATTTTGACTAAAAAATGTCAAATACCTTTTGATTAAAAGAAAGGCACAAATGAGCTATAAGAGTTAATCATTCATGGAATAATTTGGGAATTATTTGTAGTGAAGATTATGTTTGTTTGTTGTGGATGTGAAGGAGAATTCTGATACTTATTTGACATTCGAAATGTTTATATACATTTTTACATTTAATTTCTAAAGCTATTTTAAGATCGAATTCATGTCTGAACTATGCAGTTTAACATATTAAATATTGCTCCCGATAAATCGCTATTTACAGAGATAAATAATTTAACTCGATATTAATCAGGTTTGAGGCAAGGTTCTGTGAAAAGCTCTTTAAAAATTGTTAATTACAACAATTATTATGTTGTTTAACCTTAACTAAACTATGAAACATAAACAATTAAATATAGATTTGATGAACTTTTAAACACAAATTATTTAATCAAAATTTTCAAATATAGATATTTGAAGAGATCTTAATGAAATTGTGGGTCGGTCAATAACATTGGAAAGGTAAGCGAAATAAACTCCAATGCTGCTGTGTATACAAAAATGGGCAACATAATTTGTCTTGATCCATTGCGCCATACACAGTACACAATGCTTTCAGGTGATCTACAACGATTTGAGTCATTTAAATGTCATTCTTAAGCTTAAACCTCTTTTTTTATTTAACATGTTAAATTTGCGTAGTGGAGACTTAGCATTAACCGATCCAGATATCTAATTTGTTATATTTATTTAGTTTGTATTGTCATGTTTTTTAAATTAACTCAATTTTTATTAATCACGAATGAAAGAAAGAACGGAGTGAGTATACATTTCACTTTTTTTATTTGAATGAAGTTATTTACCTTAAGCCTACTTTCCCGGAGTAATAAATTCTCAGTTGATATAGGTACGCGTTCTCCTGTTGAGTGTATCAAGGCACCGTGAAATCTATATAATTTTGTGGTTGGCGCATCAGCTTCAACACGACTCACAAATTTACTAGGTGTAAAGATGTTTTGTTTATCAGTGAAACCCCGTACAACCTATAATGACAAGTTTATACATATATATATATTTATATAAATTTAATATAAATAAATTAATAACTTCATTTTTTTTATTGCAAGAATTTTGCTCACCTCTCTACGTTTGAGATTTGTTTCACCATCTAAATCACAAGTGTCTATATAACAAACCCCATGGGGGTCGCTAGTACGCAACAGTAAAATATCTGCTGGCACTGTTTCATTATTTGATAAGTGTACTATATCACCAACATGCACATCCTGCCATTTCAGTTTTTGATAGCGCTCCGTTTCTCTAAAAATATATAATTGGAAAATGTGTTAGCTTAAAATTCTTCATTTAAAATCTAGATGAATAATAAAATATATAGTATATATATACATTCTTATATTCTTACAAACGAAGCAATAAAACTCTGTAAAATAGGTTCTATACTACTTTTTGTTGACACAACAGAATTTAGAGACCTACTCTAAACCCAGAAGCGGGAACAATAGACCCGACGATCTCAGTGCCAAATCCTTGTTACAAAAACAACAACAAGAGAATAAGGTGGTAATCCTTATGTGAATAGACAACGAGTAGTTCTAAACCCTCTAAACCACATAAATTTCTATTTAAAAGTCAAATAGTCTCTGAATTCCTCAAGAAATCTTGTTAAATAATAAAGATTGGATTATCCATTGTTAAATAATAGGAAATCGTTAGCTATGCTATTTGATACTTATTCTACTTAGTCTTCTGCTTCGGTAGACACACCATTCTATCATTAAAGTCTCACTTCGATAAATTCTGCAGAGTAAGTTCTATTAATTCTTAAATAAGCGATCATAAGCTTTAAACTCTTTGAATATTAGCACCTGAAGGGTCAATAGAATAGCACAATAGAGAAAAAACAGCTAATGATAACGTAAGGTATTGATAGTTAAAGATTAACTATAAAATTTATCGAAAAAATTAAAAAAAAAAACTAACTATAAAGAGTTATAAACTTTAAGCCTTTTCTTGTACAAAACGTGTTCAATTTAGTTAAAAAGACATTTAATGGATTAATAATCCATTATTTCTATCCAATTATATCCATTATGTATCCAATGTTATTTGCATACATTGTCATTAAAATATAGAAAGTTTTTTGTTTTTTGGGATTTTTTCAATACCTTGAATTTTGGTAAATATTAAAAATAGAGCATATATTTTTTATAAGTTTCATTTAAATCTGTTCAGATTTATTTCAAGAATGTTGCACATGATTGGCAAAAAAAATTGACCACTTGATTCTATTTTAAGTTTACCATATATTATTTTTGATAAGTTTTATTTAAATCCATGCAGATTTATTTTGAACATGTTGTAGATCAACTCCAAGAAATTTAATCATTCGAACAAATGTCAATTAACTTCGATATACATAAGTATATGGCCCAGGTAAACACTCTCAAGTCTGTTCATCAAGTTTAATTTTAATAAAAACATCATATCGGTCATTTGTTTACAAATCGGACACCTTTTTAACCTCATGATCTCCAATTTGGCTGAAGTTTTTTTGATGAGCTCGGAAAAAATTTTTTTTGATTTTTTTTTTCTAGGAGATATGGACCCATGGGGTTTTAAGGATTGACATTGTAAATGTAAAATTAAGGTTTCAACGTGTAAACCTAAGACAATTCTCAAAAATTCTATGTTTTAATATGATATATATTTTTTTTAATTTTATTTTAAAATTGGTTGTTTGTTCGAATCAAAGTTAGCTGAATCTCATCAAACCAAAATTGTAAATCTAAATATTTAATTTTAATGTTATGATATATTTTCTTAATGGGTACATTCCAGTGTTGTTCCATACCTAAAAGCGTAGTGCTTTTAATTACAAATAGTGTGACTTATAGTAATTGTAACATTTAAGTTTATTAAATTTTTAGGAGTGAGTATTCGGTTGCGTGGATGACTTTTTGGCCTACATTTATTATGTATAAAGGCACGACATATAAGACACATATGGTGATAGAAGAACAGCACCTACAATACGAATTTACAATTCTGAAATGAAATTTCCATGTTGAAGTATTTTAGACAATTATTGTTTACTCTTCAATAACACGAACGGTGCATTGTAATTACAACGTAAAGCAGGCGTGGTATCTACTAACTAAAGAAAATATTTAATTTCAAAAACACTATTTATACATACATAGTACAGACACATCATTAGATAGCCATATACCACAAAGCAATAAGTATTGAATGTCATGGTCAAAATTATTGTAGTCTTTACCTACGTAGTACTCATCCTTATTATGTGTACAGATGTTACCGATAATTATGTTTAGATATTTGTAACGTGGTCATGTGTTTTTTGGGTTCATTGAAATAAACTTATGCGTACAAAGTACTATAACATTTTTAATACAAAACATTCCATTTGCTGTGTATTAGCACGGAAATTTAAAGAAAAATTATTAGACGCTTTTACTGTAGGCTGTGCATTGTTCAGAAGTAGCTAGATTTCACATGAACAAATTGTATAGTTCCAATCTGCACAACTATACTCTATCCCAACCTATGACTACTCGTGCATAATACACTTATGCAGATTATTTGGAAGTTTCGCAGCACTTTTGATGAATTTGTCTAAAAAGTCTAACGGACCAACTTTTATTAGTTCCAACTTCTATTAGTTACAATTTTCTTAATTTCCAACTTTTTCAGTCAGACTTTTTACAAAAATATTTACACAGCAGGGTCAACATATTTAGTCTTGTGGGGTTAATATAGTTTTTGATCGCTGATTGTGCGGAGTAAAAAACACTCTGGATTAGATTAATATACAAATAAGACGCACAACTAAAATAAGCTCTTTGAGGAACAATTACAAATTGACCGAGGGGTAAATTAGTCTAAGTAGCGAAATCTGAAACCCCGGTATAAACGAAAAAATAATTATTTATGTGGGTTCTAAAAAATGCGCAAAAATATAATAAAATTCTAAAATTTTTTAGAATCTTTTTGGTTGACATAGTTATTGATTTAACATAGCACCTAAGAAACCGAAGTTCATTGGATATGATTCGCATAGTTCAGATTGCAGTGATCTATATATGATCTCGAATAATAAAAAGGCATAATAACAGTTCTGTGCTCATAATCTGCAGATCCGTATTAAATAATCAAGTCAACACCTATAAGTTCATAGTTTTTATATGTTCTCTAATTTGACGAACGTCTTAGTATATAGTATATATAGTATCAGAAGAGCATTTAAATAATAAAATAATGTTAAATAATAAATGCAATAAATGTGTAAATTCAATAGTTAACATATGTGATTGTTTTTAAGAATGTATAAATCCCATTTTAATAGAAATCCGTATCTAAAAGGGATACTAAAAAGTATGCATCGTTTATTACACTACATAAACACCACACAGTTAATTATTTCTTTATTACAACTATTTTGAGTACAAATATTTTCGAATAAAGCATGCATGATCGATCAATGCGTACCCTTAACCATATAAATTACTTCTAGACACATTGACATAGCCATAAATATAGTAATGTTAATACCAAGATAGTTTCGCATACTAAACTATTTAATTGAATTTCACTAAAGAGACATAATAAATCCATGCGGCAATGTAGGTCACGAGTTCTTTTCCATTTTTTCCATTTCTTTACAAATGTCATGTTGTGTTTACGTTGTTATAATAGCAGAGCTATTTAACTATAAAAACCAAATCCATTGTCACAAAGTAAATACGGCACTGGGCTGATGCATGTGCTGCTGTTGACATTGCTACTCCCAATAATAACACAAATTAGTACAACAGAACTAATAAACCAGATTGGGGTATGAGTACTGCATTATTACTATTGTACGTTGGCAATTTAATGACTGGTAATCGCCAAGGAGTTTACTTTCATTAACAACAACTATATACATTATAAATGCTTATTCGTATTGCCCCTTTACTTCTAAGAACAAAATTATTTAGCATGTCAACTTCTGATTAAAGATAAAGTTTCGTTTTGGTATGAAAACTTTGAAAAGTTGTGTTACTTAAGTTTTAATACAATCATTGATTGAGTTTTAAGTACTGGTTTTATCCATGTGTGGACGATTCAAGATAAATAAATATGTTTTTGACTCAAGGACATTTTTGTTGACAATATGTCATTTTTAACGTTATTTGATACGTTGTATTGATAAATGAAATTTTGTTCTTAAAAACATATATCAAAATAATAATTACTTATAACATATAAATTTTTATACTTTTTGAAAGACCATGGCATGACAATATTCATATTTTAACCAATATGAATATTGAACAAAAAGAGGAAAAATCTGTAGCCACAAAAAAAATTTTAAAAAATGTGTAGACTTAAATTAGACTTCATTCCGTAAAATAAAATTAATTTATAATATTAATCGGACTCATCGAAAAAATCGGACTCAATGAGGAGTAGATTAGTCAAAATAGCGAAATCGGAAACCTGGTGCCCTCCAGTAAGCTTCATTGCTATAGCTATTTTATTAAATACATTATACATTATTTACATTATAGTTTATTTTTTTTTTGTTGTTTTGTTACTTCTTAAACTTGACTCTAGAGTTTAGAGTTTTCTAATTTATCAAAAAAATCGGACTTAAAGAAATACTCTAAAACTATAAAAGGTAACTTAACTAATCTCTAGATCAGAATGAAAAATCCTCTAACTACAAATATATTAGTCATCGCTACTAATTTGATAGGCGTGAGTTCTAAGCCTGGCACTTGCAGTCCAAACAAATTATATACGGACTATAAACTAATTAAGAAATTCGAATACTTCCCACCACAATAACAGTGATATAGTAATTTAATTTGGATATAAAAACCAATTCAAAGATATAGAATATGCAAAAAAAGACTTTTTACCTTTTGATTCTTTTTCACTTTTCACCCTGATATGATCCTGATATGATTTTTTAACAATAGTTATAATTGAGCCAAATGCAACAACTTTAGCCAACTTTAATTACCAAAAGATATTATAATCAGGTTTTTAGTATATCAAAAGAAAACTTATTATTGCCAAAGATTGTAAACAATATGCTCGATACTTCATTTAAGAATACCATTAACACACTCTCAAGAGAGTGTATTCAACTCGAGAAATTTCTAAATATGTTGACAATTTCATAAAAGCACATATCCCAATAGTCTAGAATAAGAACTCAAGATAATTCATTTGAAAGGTCAAAATTAATTCATTTGACAGTTCATTGGCTTGTTTACAAGCGTAGGAAG